GCATACATTGAACAGTAACGCCTACTTCCTCCGGGGTGCGAACAACTTGCATATGGAAATGATGATCTTAACTAAAATGTCGAGTAATGTGAATCAACTTCATTCAAAAATGTAATGTAGTTCACAAGATTAAAACTGTGAAATATTTTTGAAACTCCAGAACATTTTGAGAATTCTCTCTTATTTACGCGTTAACAACGAAACGGATAATATGAAATATAGTAATTCTATCTGGCTGTCATAGGGAGTTCTATATCGTCACTACAAGCCATTGTGTTGTCCTTGCATTATCATTGATGAAAGCTAAAGCTATTACCGCATTTATCAGGATTTTATAATTCGCACACCGGAATTCGATGTCAGGTATAAGATTATTCATATTTTTAACAGCAAGACTTGCATATACAGATCTCATTGCAATAGCAGTGCCATCTGCTTAATAGGCAATGAGACTGTTACTTTGACTTCAGCTGGATGGAAAATCATTAGTAAAAATTAAGTAGAGTATTGGTCCTAAACTGCTTCCTTACGGTAAACCTGCATGTGCATTTCATTTAGGTGAGAGGTGGCCATTTAGACGTATTTGAAATGTTCTATTATTTAAATATGAATCAATAATTTAAATGATATTGAACCTGAGTCAATTAGTTTTGCCATAAGTGGTGGCAGACGCGGTCAGAGACTTTGGCCACGTCTAGCATGAGCAGGGCTGGCTTCGTTCTTGAATAAACCATCACTGATGAAATCAATTAGGTGTATGAGCAGTTTAGTTGTTAAGAGTTTCTTTCGAAACCCATACTGTTCCTTCCGTAAAAAAGTAAGTAAGGGTTCGAGCCTCGTATTGTTTCTAATATTTTTTAATACTTTCACGTTGACAAATTTCACTGCTACTTTCACTGTGACTAATTTCACTGCTACTTCACTTTCGTAAGTTCACTGCTACTGTCGCTGCTCCAAAAATCATAGTGAAAATGTTGTTTTTCACAATTTGATTTCTTTTGACTGCCAGTAGCTACTCCATACCGTGCCTTTGGAAGCATTTTCCTTGCTCTGCTGTGATAAATGTTGCTGTTATTTCTGATCGAATATCATAACGGCTCATATATCATATTTTCTCGGCTAACTGCGTCCAGTTACTGTTTGAATTCGAACGTAAAGTCAAAATCTCTGTTTTGATCATTTGTTAAGATTTCTATAATTTGTGGTCTGATAAAAATGTTATATAACGAAGAATCTTAAAAATAATCTTATTACAATTTTTTTTTCTCGCATATATTTGAATATAGTTAAATTTTTATTTACTCAGAAAATTTAAAGCTAAACATTTTTTTTATTGATTTTTTTTCTTTAAATGAGACTTGATGTTTTATCATAAATATAAATTATACAGTAAATAAAAGTCTGAAGCTAAAAACTGTATATTTTTGCGAGTTCGTAAAATTTGAGAAATGATCGAGGCAAAAGATTTTATTTATAGACTTGATATTTTTACATCAAGTTATTGACATTTATATTTTAAGGTGTGAAATCAATATTCTATCTTCTCTCCCCCCCCCCTCCCTTCGTTTAGCTAGTTATTGCTTTTGTGAAATGAAAGTGACAAAAGAGAAATAAAAGAAATGAGACAAAAAGAAAAACAGAAATAGTAAGAAATCAGAAAAGACGAATACATCAACAAAAATTTACTTATGGAAATTTTAGGAAATATGCGCAAATATTTTACGTTTTTAGTTATTTATAATGTTAACTATAATTTTCTCGCGCGTGAGAGGAAGTGTGTATTGGTAACAAAGCTGACCTTGCACTTTGGTAGAAAGCCCGAAACAGTTACGTTATTCTCAATAAATTCGGGAAAAACGAAAACATAACAAAAATTAGAATTTTTGATACTAATGTTAAATTTGTCCAAATCAATGGATCCGAGGATCGATCAATCAATCGAACTTCAAGCATTTAATTAAGATAAGTTTAAGAAAAGAGAGTTTTTAAAATAAAAAGTTGGCAATTTAAATCGAAAATCTCAAAATTTTGATCGTGGTCCTCTACCATTTTCTAATATTTTGCCGAACCCGTACAAGCTGAGCATCTTTGAATAAATATCATACCTGCCAACTTTTACGCATTTGGCGAGAAAATTTTATTTCGATATTTAAAGTGGTAGTAAAATGTATGCTTTCTATATATTCTTTGCATTTATAAACTTGATTTATTATCTTTTTGACCACCACAATTTTTTAAAAATTAAGCATATATATTAGTATAATATACATGCTTAATTGTATATAATGTCTACTAACTACTTAACTACTAACACTTTCTGCGCAATGAATGCGCAGTATAAAAATATATAAATTTTTTATAAGAATTATAAATAATATTTTCTAGTAATTTTAGTTCAGTTTGTATNATTGAAAGTTGGCAGGTATGCAGTTACGTTATTCTCAATAAATTCTGGAAAAACTAAAACATAACAGAAATTAGAATTTTTGATACTAGTGTTAAATCTGTCCAAATCAATAGATTCGAGGCGTGGCTCTGCAATAAAATTAGCATGAACGAACTTCGAGCATTTAACCGGTTAACGCCCAGCGTCATATATTTAGGACAGTTCCTTTTTTCAAAGACATTCATTGAGGTGGGAAACTTTTTTCAGTATTTTCATTTATCTGGCTGAATTAAAAGATTCCCAGATACCAGAATAATTCAGTTATTTCTGATTAGATCTAGAATTATAAGGAGCAAGTACTTTGAAAAACTTGATAAGTTAGTTAGTTAGTTAAGTACTTTTTGATCTATTGAAGACTTTTTGAATGCTCTAACAGTAGAAAAACAAATTAATTTAGATAATATATTCTACCACTTTTTCCATAAAACCACTTTATTTGTCATTTCAATTGATAAATTTCGGGACAAAACGGGTTAATTAAGATAAGTTTAAGAAGAGAGTTTTTAAAATAAACAGTTGGCAATTTAAATCGAAAATCTCAAAATTTTGATTTTGTGGTCCTCTACCATTTTCTAATATTTTGCCGAACCCGTACAAGCTGAACATCTTTGAATAAATATCATACCTGCCAACTTTTACGCATTTGACGTAAAATTTTATTTCGATATTTAAAGTGGTAGTAAAATGTATGCTTTCTATATATTCCTTGCATTTATAAACTTGATTTAAAATCTTTTTGACCACCAGTATTTTTTAAAAATTAAGTATAAAATATATTAATATAATACTATTGTTCAATTCCGCATAAACTTCTGAAAACTAGAGCGTATGTTTTTGCGTAAAATTGCAATTTAAATTCCATTTTACTACCACTGGGAAAAATCCTCGTCGAGATTTAGAGTTGGCAGGTATGAATATAAAATATCCTCTCTTCATAGACACACAGTTCCAATCTAAATGTTTAACGAGGAACTGCTTTAGTGCTTTAGCAGTAAGACGCCATTTTCTTAGCTTTGACGGTTGTTATATCTTTCTTTCATTTTTTTTCATCTTTTCCTTTCTTCATCTTTTTTTCATTTAATTTTAGTGGTGGCAAATATCTTATAGTTATAACTAAAATATGAAGTGCGCTAATGAAAGATACGCAATATTTCAAAATCGATAACAGACTGAAACAGCTGATATACCTCACGAATAACACACACATTTTGAATGAAATAATATTTATTTAGTGAGTAGATGGGGGAAAAAAAAGACAATGTAAAGTTACGCCTACTTTTTACGCTAGGCTTTAGTTTGTTTTTCTATGATGAAAAGTTACTTTTTTAAGATGAAGCTGAGTAATTCTACCCAATATCTATTTCCATCAAAGTATAGCTACGAATTATCAACTTGTTCCGATTTATCGAAACGTATTTCTATTTAGAATAGTTATGCGTAGAATACAAACGAGCATACAGAAAAAAAAATGACGTATTACCCTAAATAAGTTATAAACGAAAGATCAAATATTTACGTTTCTTCCTTTTTCCCACAGCTCCTCGCCACAATGTTTAAAAAGTTTAAACGAGGAGGAACTGTTTTAGTAGAGATGAGATTTATCAATCTGTGTATGAAACATATTAATAAATAAATATATATCTTTTTATAATTTAAATTTTAGTGGTGATAGTATTTATATAGATATAATTAAAATATGGTGTGCACCAACATAAAGAAAGATAGACATAATTTTTCTAAGTCCATGACAGACTGACGCAGGTGATTATCACGCACAATTCGAATCAAATAACAATATTTATTTATTTATAGAGGAGATGGAAGAAAAGTGAAAAGTTACGCCTACTTTTACGCACTGGTGAAATATGAAGTGGAGAAAATCTAAGCGCATAATTATAAAACGTCCGGCATTTTGTTCACGTGCAATAAAAATAACACGGATAAAATTAGCAACAATAAAGATACAAATAACGAATAAATTAAGATGAAATGAAGGATGGAGCACTTAGCTTTAAAAAATAAAATACAATTAATTTAGTAAATTCATTTTCAGCGAAAAAATTGAAAAAAATATGTAAGGAAAACTATTGAAGGATGAAAATAAATTTAAATTTCACTCTCTATCAGGAGACCTTGGAAAAGAAATAAATCAATAGATATTTAAAGGCTACAGTCGTAGTAAAAACTAGTAACAAATAAATTTCAATTTTTAATTTTTTTCCGGGAATAATGAAAATCCATAACTACCAATTGTTTTTAACGGATGCAATTTTTATATTGAATTGCTTCCTCGCCGTGATAAATTTCCTTACAGTCAATTGCAATTGTTGAGAATAGATTAACTCCTCCCGAATGTTATCTAATATTGAAATAGTTCTTCTACCAGTATTTTCTATTTTCCGGTACCAGTATTTTCACTTTTTCCGGCGTGAACATGTTAAATAAAAAAATTTATCGGGAGACATCTAGATTTATCTTTCCAATACTTTTAAATAAAATTTCCAGACCATGGCAACCCTGTTCATATTAAAATGTTTAAAAAAAGGGATCTTACCTTTTATATTCTACAGCTGTGAGACTAAACTGTGATGCCCAGCACTTTTTCACTGAATGGAAAATCTAAAAATATGCAACAGTATGCAAAGATCAAACTTTTGCAGGATTGTTTATGAAGGAAAAAAAAAGCTGATGGTCAAACCATTTCTAAATTAATTCTTGCTTAATTTCTAGAGAAAAAAGTCAGGTTGGTAGCTGTTACATACCTGCCAACATTCATTATTTTCGAGAATGGATTATCCAAGTGGTAGTAACACAATTACCGAAAAACAGTTTTACTCAAATGTGGAAAAAAAAAATTGTGTAGGAACTAGAAGAGTTGGCAGGTATGCTGTTAAAAAGAGTTCACATTAAAAAAGCTGCCAATTTCCAAGACTTTTTTAAAACATTTAATCTAGTGGTAGTTTATGTTTAACGGTAAGTTTATGTTTACTGTATTATTTTTAGTCTCTCAAACTTATTTTCGCCACCATTTCGTACAAATGATTTAAAAGTTCATATATAACGCCACTTTGTTCCAGGTCTCGTGGTGAGGCTCTTAAAATGTTGACACTATTACAAAACTATTCAGAAAGCTTTGGTTTTTAAATGGGTATCTCTTTATAAAATATTTTATAAAAAGCGAAGCAGTTGGCAGGCCAGCATAAGTATAAATTATTTCTTGATTATGAATATACATCTATATATAATATTAATTAACCTAAACGTAATTAATTAACCTAAACGTAATTTCACGTAATTAGGTGCTTGCAACTCGAGAAGAAGATGATCACTGATTCACAGACACCTGAACTATGACCTCAGACCCATAAGTTATGATGTTAATAAAGGTGAAGTTAATTAAAAATATCGTCGTCTCTCACATCGAATTTCTTAAAATCGAATTCTTTCTCGTCTACGATTTTTACTTAACTTAGATTTATTATTTGCTTATATACTTTATTGTAATCGTTATATATATATTTATATGTGTGTCTGGCAACTTCCATGCTAATTAGTATGTGTTCGACGTGGCTTCAGGCCTGTCTTTGTATTAAGTAAGAAATATGTAGTGAAAGAATTGAAATCTTTGTGAAAGAATATAGAATGTTTCACTTAAGAGAGTTGATACTTGACGGGCATGGATTACTCGAAAGAACAGTTGCTCTCAATGCATATCACAAATGTCACGGTTCAACTACCAATCAGGATCGAAATACCCACGCTACTTCATTACTCCGAAAACTAATGTTTCTATTAATCTATCCTCAGCAGATATTGAAATATCGAATAAATATAGTAATATCAACGAATAAATTAATATCAAATTGGATATAGCAAATATTAAGGACATTCACCAAAGCGACTATGTGATTGTTGACATTCACCGATGAAAGTAAACATTCTTTTGGTCCTTCACGGTAACACACACACACACACACACGCACACACACACACACACACACATATATATATATANAAAATTATAGACATATGAAAATAGGAGGGGGGGGGAAATAATAAGTGAAAAAATAACAAACAACAGTTTTAAAAAAAAAAAAAAATGAAATTTTATTAAAAAAACCGGAAAAAAACAGAAAAAAATATATATATATTATCTTTTCATCAGCCATTAGACTTTATAGTGCTTCATCGATCGATGATGCCAACCGCGCCAATCGACTGACGTTACTATCCACTTTCCTACAGTTTTTTGTACTCCCCAGGCTTTGTTTACACTTGTTTGAGTTAACGCAACTAGAGAGCGGGGTTATCATATTTAATAACATGTTCCATCAATTAAATTAATTATAAGCATAAGACATATTTACATTATTAATTCCTTGGATGCCGAGAAAAGTATCCATTTGTCCAGCAGCCGACATAACATCTGTGTCTTCACCTTTATATAAGCAAAAAATATTGCGAAATTAAAAACAATATTTATTTTTCAAAAATTTAAAAAAAATAAATAAATAAAGGATTAAAAAGCATGCATATATATGCAGGGTTATTCATAATTCCTTTCGGGGTTCCGAAGCGTTATAATAGTTAAAGAAAGAAGACGAATATGAAAAAAAGAAACATATGAAATTATTCCGAAACTATTCAAGTTTTACTTACATACATTACAGGTGTTCTATGTGTGAACCCTTGGTCACATTGCGATAGTACATCATTGCGATAGTCCAGTTCCTGCTATACTTTACTCAGCATGGTACTGTCCATGTTATTGATAGCACGTGTTATCCTTTCGCGCTATCTACCGGCAACTGCTTAAATTAAAACTCGAATACTTTCGGAATAATTTCATAAGTTCTTTTTTACCATATTCGTCTTCGTTTTTTTTACTATAACGCTTCGGAACCCCGGAGGGAATTGTGAATAACCCTGTATATATATGCGCGTGTATCTGTGCTTTGAGTACATTTGACGAATGAGACTCGTCATGCATTTATTACAAATAAATGAAGATTGGTGATTAAAATATTTTGCTGTCAGTCTGTTTCAGAAAGAAATAATACATTGATAACTATCACTTCATATAAATGACAAAGCATTTAGTGAAGGTGTCAGGTTATATTTGGTAACTATTTAACAAAACAAAAACATTTTTGCCCAAAAACTTACTACCAGGTTTTAAATTTGGTTGTTTCCTCTTAGTTCGGAATTTAAATAAACCGTAACCAAAGGGTAAAATTTCCCTCAATTATAAAACGATTACTCAATAGAATTTCGGATCATGTTCACAACTGATTCATTTTTTAAATAGTCTGCGCAGAATACTTATAAAAACCTGTGAGGAAGATTTCTGATGCAGGAGGTGATGGAAAATTACCCGTACTTTTCATAAGAGAAGCCACAAGATAACAGCAGTAAAGTTGCTTTTCATATGACGCTTAAAATCTTTGATATGCAGTAGTAGAAAAATTACTTAAAATTTAAAACAATAAACTAAAAAAGAGAAAACTTAAATTTCGATACCAGTCGAAAATATATTTTTGCAAAGCGGAGCAAATTAGCATCTCTGTACTATGTCAGTTAGTTCATTTAATTAAAAAATAGGAAGGGAATGGTAGGCATTACCTGTTGCAGAAGATCGTACTGCAAACCTAAGACCTTCAAATTCACCATCAAAAACTAAGTTTAGACTCTCAACAATGCTTTTACAGATCCCATCGGGAAGAGTTGTGTGTAAAACAGCCTCCATAACACTGAAAAAAAATTAGAGGATTTATATATCAAAAACAGTATGTCTCTAAAACATTAAAATCAGAAGGACGAAATTTGATTGGATGGTCTGAGTCCTGTGGCATCACCTTCTCCATCAGAAAGCCTCCGCGCAGTTTTTATAAGTAGTCTGCGCAGACAATTTGAAAAGTAATCCACTTGTGCGCATGAACCGAAATTCGATTTTATTAGTACCTAAGTCAATATTCTTAAGGGTTCCATCAAAACATTTTCATGGTTTATGTTGGTTTGAATGCGATTCGTGATAATCACCATCATCCAACATTTTCCATTATGCGTTTATGGATATGACAAGAAACTTCCATCATTCCGAATAGAAAATGCTACGTTAGTACTATGATGGTTAACCATCAAGAGAAGTTTAATTCTCATGGACCAACAATCCATGATGATTCGTGATGGTTCCAACTATACATTTCCATGATGGTTTAATGAGAATTCTTGTTGGTTCTCCGGAACGTACCATCAAAACAATGTGGATTTTTTTTTATCTTGGACCATCATAAATCTGTCCGAATTCTTACATTGCGATGATGGTTGTTCGCTATTTCTAAGATATTAAGATGGAAATTCGTGATTATCCATAATAGTACAATAATGCATCTCCGATGGTTTAATTATAATAATTGTCGGTACAGCAGGAACATACCATCGAAACAATTTATTTTATGTTGGCACTTAAATTCCTATATTAGAGGGATGGTGGTTCATGATCGCTGCAATATTTCATTTCTAAGAAACTACGATGGAGATTTCTAATGGTTCAACCTGAACAAATTACTATTCTAATGTTGGATCATCATAAATCAATCCGAACTCCTACTTTGGGGTGAGGATTTCCTTCAAGTTTATGTTGGTACATCAATGGAAAATCATTAAAAATTTTTACTTGGGTCATACGAGAAATTTGCCTTATACAGGGTGATTCTAAAAAGATGGGCAAAATTTTAGGAAGTGATAGTACACACCCAGACAAGCAATTTTTATCAAAGAATGCGTGGTCGAAAACAAAACGCAAAGGTGCTGGCGCATTTGGAAAGTTTTTTCATGCAAACGAGAAAGCTCCATTCCTATTGTGAGTTACCGCGCTACGTTATTTGTCGCCAAGCTTTCGGCTGCTGCAGGGAAAGTTCGCCTATCTTTTCTTCGCCGTTGTACCAGTATAGCCGCTGCCGGCCACTGTTGTGAACACTTATCGTAATCACATGCCATTAAATTTGCTTTTATAACTTAACTTCATCGTTCTTTGTGTGTTTTTGCCTCATATAAGAACATAAACTTTGACGCCCTCTGGCGGTTTTGGGTTTTGTTTTCGACCATGCATTCTTTGATAAAAATTGTTTGTCTGGGTGTGTACTATCACTTCCTAAAATTTTCCCCATCTTTTTAGAATCACCCTGTATATTTGAATGGTGGTAAAAAAAAGTAAATAAGACAGACTAATCATATTCATAAATTATACAAATGTTTAGACATATAATTGCAACCACTTTTTACTAGATTTTCTATTAAACGGCTCTTTCGTAAACTGGTTTACTTTCATAGTGGTCTGATCAGACTACCTATAAGAAACTGTGTGGAGGCTTTCAGTTGTAAGAGGCGATGCCCGTGGTGACTCAAAATTGTTAAAACGATCGTTAACTTAACGTCAAACTAGTGGATATTCACCTTAATCAGAAACCACTCAAATGCTAAAAATTTTCAATCAATTCTAATTTTGATTATTATCTACTGCACAATGCAACTGTCACCTCAAATGTGTGACAAAAATGTTTCCCCAATTCGAGATATTGTAAAACATTGTGGAGGTTGGTTTACTAGAAGGACGAAACTAGGATAAAGACTAAATATTCGAAAAAAGCCGATGGGGTGTATGATGGTCAAGGAGTTGGCTTCGTACTAGGAATGTTCATCCCGGGTGTAAATCCTCGCTTGAGTAATGGTGTTATTTATATATTTGTACCATTTGTCGTTTCTCGATTTATTAACATGTGGAATGCCATGGGGGTCACCGGTGACCGGTGAAGCGAAGGTTATTAGAAACACATAATTCGAGTAAATTTGTACTTTTTTTACATTATTATCGTTACTAAAATGGTTTGAAGAAATTAATGCAATATAAAACACACAAAAATAGTTTTATTTAGATACACAGAGATGCCAACTTGCTCCAGACAGCGTATAAATAATTCCAAGTGGTAGTTTATTAATTTTGATTCTTGGTTTAATAAGTTCAATTTAGTAGATTTTTATCCACCACTATTTCTAAACAATTCGCAGGCTTATATAATTCCTCACTCACTCAGATATGTCATGCTAAACCTTTTAATATACTAGCAAAATCTGTCTAATATTTTCAAATTTAATTTCTTGTTGTTTACCGTTGTGGCCAGAGGGACAAGCCATGTTAAATTAGCTTTGCATTCAGCGTGTTAACCCTTTCGCGCCGACTGTCACAAATACGTGACAGCAAAAAACCGTATCAATCAGGGTAAGAAGATAAAACTGGTAATCAAAGTATTTCTTTAGCAGTTTATTTGTGGGCGGAGTTATAATTTTTTGATTTATTTAATTCACCATTACTTTGTTCAAAATAAAACTATTTAGTTATACTTTGAATTATCATTGATTATATATATGATTAAACTAACAATAATAAAGATAAAAGCAAAGTAAGTCTGTAAAATTAGTAACGACTACATTTAAGTTACCATTTTTTATTTAATTGCAACTTGTTTCTGATTTTGTACGAATGGTTTTCTGAATCACCCGTCCCCAAGAGGTTAATAATCACTGACGATATAGACTCCTGCGAAAATAATAGAAATGAAATGGTTAACTACTAATTTTTTCTACTTTTCGGAGTATATACAACTCTGATAACTAAAACATTTCATTACAACGCTTCTACAAATTGAAATTGTAATAAATAAAAATTTATTCTAATTCGCATTCTAAAATATTACCACTTTAATATATATGTACGTTTCATTATATACGGGATAAGATCTTTGTCAAATTACGTAGATTAAGCTTTTTATTCTATAATTTAAAAATTTGCGTTCGTAGCATTTATTTAAAATGCTGGTGACGCTAAAATTAAATATGCCGTCCAATAAGGTAATTTATTAACGGCGATAGCAGCTTCTCAATTTCCGGCTTGCCATGAAAATTGGGGACCTCTTTTTGTTCGCTTTCAATATGTCAACTGTTCTTATCTGTATATTTTTGAAACGAATGAAGTTTTCAATCAAGATATTTACATAGTTTTTGCCTTCAATTGTCCGTTTAGGCCTATTTTAGCAAATCATCTTTTCAAAAAAAATATTTGTAGTTCTTTTTTTTAATAATCATTAAATGTTCTTTATTACCACAATGTTCGGAAACTTATTGTATTATCAGAAAACTTACAGGTGATTGAAAGAAAAATATGTAAATCGAAATGGGTTTAAAATTAGAAAAATTGCATTTGCTTTTTGAATACTACCACTTTCATTTTTTTTTTACTTGCTTTTATTAATCATGATACAGGGCTGTCAACTTTTTACGCATTTTGAAAGAATTTATACTTATGTCAAACAAGTTTATGTTTTAATACATTATTTTTAATTCGCTCGAAATTATATTCCACACCACTACGTTTAAATGATTTAAAAGTCTATATACAACGCCACTTATCTTCAGCGATTTATTATACATTCCCACTTAAATAAATCAGAGCCTATGTGTATGTGAAATATTTGTCTAAGTTTCTGCCCCACCAGGGGCCCTAACTCATTCATCTCAGTAGGATTATATGGTGTTTAGCCTAAGCTCAAATCAGTGGGGGGTATATGAGTAAAATACACAGTGAGTTAAAATATAGAGAAGATACAGGGATGCCAACTACTCCACTTTCTGGAATAGTTTTAACATAGTGGTAGCAAATTATATAGTAAAATTTGTGAAAGAATGATGGTTACGCATACTTTTTAATAGAGTAACCAGTAGATGGATGCTATAACGTTGCATTTTATATCATACTTATAATTTTTTACATTTAGTGGTGAAAAAATTACTTAAAAGGAAAACTACGAAACTGAAGGTAACTTAAATTTCGCCAACCACTAGAAAATACTATCTTACAAAGCGGAGCAAGTTGGCATCCCTGAAGATATATACAAAAGATATTTACAGGGGGAATATCAGAGTCAAGGCTGAAAGTCCATATATATTAAGAAGGAAAAGAGTAAAAACTGGTAACAAATAAATTTCATTTTTCACTTTTTTTTCGGAAATAAAGTATCCATTACTACCAAATATTTTAGCGGACACAAATTAGATATTGAATGGCTTCTTCCCCCGAGAATAAATTAATAGCAGTGAATTGGTTATTGTTCAGAAAAGAGTAACTCCTCCCGAAAATTAACTATTATTGAAATAATTTTACTACCAGTGTTTTTTCTTTTCCGGCTCGCTTTCAGGCCTGGTTAGAGCCCCTCGCGGGGCTGATGCTAAGCAAAGCAAAGCAAAGTTTAGGTTTTTAAATGTCTACCACTCTATAAAATATTTTACAAAAAATGCAATAGTTGGCTGGCGTGATGATGTAATTATAAATTACAAGTTCTAGTTTCGAAAAATAAATTTTAAATTTTGCAAATTAATACTAATCGTATCATCATCAGAATTAGCACAATATTTTGCATTGTTGGCTATACAAATCGTTAATTATCCAAAAAATTTTATTTATTACTTACCGTTCGCAAACATGTTTTACATCACCTTCAACATTTCCACTGAAACATTAAAAATAATATATTACTATTACAGTAATATAAGAAAAAGATAAAAACAAATGTCATTAGAAATAAAACAGTCTTTTGAATCCTTTAAATCGTATTACTATCACCTATTGGTGAAAACAACGGTCACACTATAATAAAAGTGAAACTACTGTAGTGACTACTTTTTTTCGTAGTTTGTACTGTAGCGTGCTTTCTTAAAAAGTAGTGTAGTGAGTAATGCGATACAGAAAAAACCCAGCAATTTGTGGCAATTCCTGACAATTACTTTTAACGAAAAGAAAAACGGTTCAAACACAACTGATTTTTCGAGTTTGAAGGTTCATCATTGGATGCAATGAAAATGACCCCCTGTGGCTGCAGCTGAGCGTTAAAATCACTTATAACTAATATTTAAATACAGGGTGTTTATAAAGTCCCGGACCCATTTTGATGTTTAATAACTTATAAAATAATAAAGATAGATTAAAATTAATAACATAAATGGTAAGATAGACCCAAAACGTTTCATGACCCTTGTCAATGAACTTCCACGTGTGCCCCCTTCTTCGCATGGAGAATGTCAAGTCGATATCGAGGCCTAGGAGGATGACGTTTGCAACAGATATGGTGGGAAGGATAGAAGATGCTGCTGATTTTCTGAAGCACATAATGTTCTCCGACGAAGCATCCTTTCATGTTTCTGGCATTGTTAATCGCCATAATGTGCGCATATGGGGATCTGAAAACCCCCATGAATACCGTGAGACACAAAGGGATTCCCCAAAGGCTAATGTGTTTGGTAAACTCGAAAATAAGCCTAATATAAAAACTAAATACTGCTGTATTGATTTGTTGTGTCTCCCATCCTAGAAAACATGGTAACTTTATTTATTTATTGTCTATTATAAATTAACTATTATTTTATATATAAAATTATTTGTAAATAAAGTTGTTTGTAGGATTTCAGTGTTGTTGGCTTAAGACTTTTGTTAGCATAGAAATAACTGTGAGTTAATTTGGTTTCATTTATTGTACTATAGTTTCCCTATGTTTTTATGACAAAAACAAATTTAAAGTTCATTGCAAATTTATTTTTTTTGTTGTTGTTGATCCGAGGCGCAAAATTATACCATTTTTAGAAATCAATTTTCACCAATTTGTTATCATAATTTTTAATTCTAGAACACTATATATTGCCTATGTTTTTTTTCTTAGTTGCAGTCAAAGAAATATGCTGTGCAAAATGAAATTTATAGAGCATTGGATTGAATTATTTTTAGCTCTTTCCCCCCCCCCCTTTCTTGAAATTTACCAGTATGCCAAAAAATGACCTGATTCTTTTTGTAAAATGTTGTTCTGATTTTTATTTTGAAACAATACAAGGCCCACGAATGCCAAAGGTTTACTTTAGTTTCAGCCATCATATTGTTTGTTTGTATTAAACTGAAGTCAGAAGATAATGACATTGAGAAATATTTGACTATTTGTTTTTTCTAAAGGACGGGAAAGATTTATAAAAGTTAGTCTGCATTTTAAAGGATACCATTTAAAAATTTTCATGTCTGAATTTTTATTTTTTATATTCAATTGCAGAATTTTCACTTAATATTGTTTCGAAAATCAAGAAGAAGTGTACTATGTCCCTCTTTCTTTTTATTATACTTCACTCTGTTCCTTATTGTGTTTCTCTGCTATATTTCATGTAAACTATAATTAAAAATGTGTTGTTTTATGTTTTATTTATAAATATTGAAATTTACTTATTTTTAAAAATAGACATATTTCTCAATTCAAATTTAGGGATGCTACTTGAGTGCAAGATGTTTTTTTTATTATTTCATTAAATATTATTTTTTTTATTTGCTTCCCTTATTTTTCGAAGTACAATATTTAAATATTCTAAAAAGGGAGTTTTACNCGAGAGGGGCCTTTCTTTTTTACAGAAAAGACGGTCTCATCAGTCGTATACTTAGACACGTTGGAAAACTTCGTATTTCCACAACTAGAAGAGCTTTAGCCCCACGTCTTTTTGCAACAAGATGGTGCACCACCTCATTGGGGTATCATCGTTCGTAGTTCTTTGAATGACCATTTTCCAGGAAGATGGATTGGGAGAGGAGGTCCAATTCCTTATCCACTCAGATCACCTGATATAACGCCGCTGGACTTTTTTCTTTGAGGATTTATAAAGGAAATTGTTTACAGGAGGATCGTGTCGAACATTGATGACCTAAAAGCCAGAATTACAACCGCAATAGCCTCAGTGGATGCCGACATGCTTGCTGCTAACTGGCGTGAAATTGACTATCTACTTGATATTCTCCGTGCGAAGAAGGGGGCACAAGTGGAAGTTTATTGACAAGGGTCATGAAACTTTTTGAGTCTATCTAACCATTTATGTTATTAATTTTAATCTATCTTTATTATTTTATGAGTTATAAAACATCAAAATGGGTCCGGGACTTTATAAACACCCTGTATATAATTAATCACTTTGGTCACACTTTTAGACGGGAATGCACACTCGTGAAGCATTAATTAGATTTCAAATAAATGGAACGTATTTTCGATGCCCTTAATTTCTGAGACAAAATAAAAGAGCATTAAACTATTTAAAAATTGTAATTCTTTGATAAATTCTTAAATTAAATATTCGCTGTCGAAAAAGGCATAAAAAGTTAAAAGTTAAGTGAACGAATAACAAACTGCATATAAACATGAATTAATATATCTTAGTTATTCCCTTATGTATAATGTAAGTCTATTTCTTATTCAAAACCATTTTGAACATCGGTGTAAATTAAGTTCTCCAACGAAATTCGTCACCTTTAAGTAGGTAAATAGTTACTACAATTCTGATTGTGTAATGTAAACCTATTTCTTATTCGAAACCATTTTGAACATCGGTGTAAATTAAGTTCTCCAACAATATTCGTCACCTTTAAGTAGGTAAATAGTTACTACAATTCCGAATGTATAATGTAAACCTATTTCTTATTCAAAACCATTTCGAACATCTGTGTAAATTAAGTTCTCCAACGAAATTCGTCACTTTTAAGTAGGTAAATAGTTACTACAATTCCGAATGTATAATGTAAACCTATTTCTTATTCAAGACCATTTTGAACATCGGTGTAAATTAAGTTCTCCAACGAAATTCGTCATCTTAAAGTAGGTAAATAGTTACTACAATTCCGAATGTATAGTGTAAACCTATTTCTTTTTCAAGACCATTTTGAACATCTGTGTAAATTAAGTTCTCCAACCAAATTCGTCACCTTAAAGTAGGTAAATAGTTACTACGATTCCGAATGTATAATGAAAACCTATTTCTTATTCAAGACCATTTTGAACATCGGTGTAAATTAAGTTCTCCAACGAAATTCGTCACCTTAAAGTAGGTAAATAGTTACTACGATTCCGAATGTATAATGTAAGTCTATTTCTTATTCAAGACCATTTTGAACATCGGTGTAAATTAAGTTCTCCAACGAAATTCGTCACCTTAAAGTAGGTAATTAGTTACTACAATTCCGAAGTAGCTCTGAAAAAAAGTAGTTGGTGTTAACTACATTTCTGACAAAATAGTTGTAGTAAACTAGAAAAATAATGTTGATTTTCAGACCACTAGGTATCTGACCACATTGTTTAAAATGCTGTCAATATGAATTAATTTGAAATAGTGTATGAAAACTTACTAAACTACATTTTTCATTTCTTCGATGGCACTTGAAATAGTCGGATTTATAAACTTATCATAAGCTGATGTTGTAACAATCACTCCTTTTGGAACACTAAACTGGAAAAAAAACACTAAATTTTTAGCATTGCAAATAGTGTCTATGTATAAATTATTCATGGGGATTAGTTTTAACCCAATGATGGCACAGGCGATTACAAATGTAAAAATGGAGGAAATTCAATTCATTTTTATTTATTTATTGTCTCTTTAATCATTCAATTTCAAGTATCACTATGACTCACATTTCAAATTATTCATATCAACAAAAACATATTTTTTAATTAAACTAAATTCAATAGTAAACTGAGTTGGTGATTTTGAAAACTGATAATAGTAACTGAGTTGGTGAAAAAGCTGCTAATTTTAATATCTTTAAATAAAATTCTAATTTTTTTAGTTACCCTTTTTTGCATTCTTAGTTACCCGTATCCCCGACCACAAAATTTGCCTACATGGATAATGCCTGTGTGCTAAAAATTGGTAGTAGCATATATATGTATGTTCATACTAAATGGATATTTCTTTCTGTTACTTACCACTATAAGCTTAAAATTTTCTAATTTTAGCCTCTTTTCAATAAATCTTCAAATTTTATTTATTTCCACTTTTTGGATTTTTAGTTGCCTGTAGCAAAGTTTGCTATCCGACCACAAAATTTGCCTGCATTCATAATGCCTGCCTGCGAAAAAGTGGTAGCAGTACATATTTGTTTATACTAAAAGGATACTTCTTTCTGTTACTTAACACTTTGGCTTTAAAAAGGCTAACGTACTATTTATATTATCAATGCATTCAGGGTTGGGCGGCTGCAACTACTTATCAAAAACACAGAATAGAGACCTTCCGAAATAAATTGCTTCGATATATTTTTGATTTTTCGCAAAAGTTTTGATTTTCATTCGTTGGATTTTTTCTCTTTCGAGCTTAACAACAGCAATCCAACTCATCACTCGAACTTTCAAAAAAGGCTTAAAATAAAGGGATTGCTTTTCAGATGAGGTGAAATACACTCTATAACAAAAAAATCGACGCACCAAGAAGCAATAGTCCGATTGCTTTGAAATTTCGTATGCATTAATGTTTTGAATAGATATGGTTTGAATGATGCCGACTGTGGACGTATAGTCTTTAGCGACGAATCCCGCTTCCAACTGTGTCCTGACGATCATCGAAGACGTGTTTGGAGACGCACAGGTCAGAGGGGGGATCCTGCTTTCACTATTGCACTCCACACCGGCCCTCTACAAGGCATTATAGTCTGGGATGCCATTTCCTTTGGCAGCCGAACCCCTTTGGTCGTCATTAGAGGTACACTTTCTGCACAGCGGTACGTCGACGACATCCTAAGACCTGTTTTGCTACCGTTCCTTTTGCAACGCTCTGGCCTGGTTTTTCAGCAGGACAATGCCAGACCACATACAGTACGTGTTGCTATGAACTGTCTGCAAGCTTGTCAAACTCTTCCTTGGCCTGCCAGATCACCAGATCTCTTTCCCATCGAGCATGTCTGGGATATGATGGGAAGGCGATTGCATCTGGTACGGAATGTTGATGACCTCGTTCGACAATTGGATCGAATTTGGCAGGAAATACCGCAAGAGACCATCCGGGAGCTTTATCGATCTATGCCACGCCGTGTGGCAGCTTGTATCCAGGCAAGAGGTGGGTCAACACCTTATTGAACTTGTTACTGTAACTCTGCAATAAATTCATCAATTGTTCTGAAATTTTAATCATTTACTATTCTGTACATTGTCTTCCTATCCACCAATTTTCGTTTCAATCGGACAACTCCTTCTTGGTGCGTCGATTTTTTTGTTATAGAGTGTAGCTCTGGTTGACTTTGTGAACTTCGATGAAGTTCTCTTCGAAACTAATAAGCAAAAAAAANCCCGTGATTTGTACTTTTGAGTCAATAATTTAAGACTACGCAGACGTGTCTTTTATATTTTTTAAATTTTAATTTTATTACTGCTAAAACTTATGAAAATCCATATGAATGATGCTTGAAAATTCTTGTGTCGTAAAGTGAAGATATTTACTATCTAAGGATATACAACGCAGGATATACTAAGGATACACTATCTAAAAAAGATATTTACTATCTGAGAAAGATATATTCTATCTAAAGTTTAAAAATAGGCAAATGACTAACTTTCAAAAACTGATAATTGCAGAATTGTATTGGTATAATTTTGCCGGAAAGAAAATCTGAAATATCTCACGCTTTAGATCTCAAACTTTGATTGGCTGGCGGCCTTATTTTATTTTGAATCTATCGAAAGATGCTGTTGAATATTCGCGATTGCGACGATCGAATATGTCATCTGGACAGCGGTTCCATGTCTTGACCCTCTCCTCTTCTTCTCAAATGTGTAGGAATGTACTACGATATTTTCCCAATTCTTAATATTTTTCGTATTTAATTGTCACAAATCATTTTTTTAAATTTCCATTGCGCTTTCCTTTAGAATTATGCTCAATGCATTTTTCAGTTCCATATATTTTCAGTTCAATATAGTTTCCTAACTAAAAAGTTTTTAATCTATTTGAAAACCAAGGGTGAAACTGACGTACTTCCTTCTCCTATGACTCTTCACACGCTAATGATGAGAGCATGCCATAGGTAAAGAATTCCGCTCTGCATCATCTGTAACCCATTTCAATCGACAATAGTAAATATCCAGCATGAGTTCACTTTATTTCAAATTTTATTGAACAATATCGAACAGCTGATCCAATTCTGAGCTTGCGGCTATAAATTTTCAACTTTATAACCTTTCATTTTTGAACCCAGTTCAGAAGACAATAAGGGAACACTCATATCAAACATTGGAACAAATAGCCTTCGTGAAAGAGCTTGATGGAACAAACCAACATTTGCGTTTCGTGGAAAGAAAAATCACGAAACTTTCCCACGGTTAGCCGATTACAAGGGGTTCCTAGTCCATGATCCATTTACCACTGATATTTTACGGCCACATCTGAGATTGAAACCTGGGTCACTTCAGTGAACTTCCATCAGTGAGCTGGGTCACTTCATGCTCTATCATCTGAACCACCGCGGCTCAGCATTAGTTGATTTTATTTTATATTTTATAACTGGCGTTGAATAGTCGACCCAATTCTGAGTTTTAAACTATCAATGTTCAACTCCATAGCCTAAGAATTGTGAACCCAACCCTGAAGTAAAGGAATGAATATTTAATGAAACATTGGGGTAAACTAGCCTTCGTGACCTATTGATAGATATTACCCGCATTTGCGATACATGGAGAGGAAAACCATGAAAACCTCCATGGTTAACTCGATATAGTAAAGGAAATCTAACCAATGATCCATGCATCATGAAGAATATTTAACTTCAACACTGTGATTAGTGCGAACCGGGAGCAGAATTTTTATCACTTAGCCACCGCTGGGATTCAAACCTGGAGCACCTCAATGAAAGATGAATGCCCTATCTTCTTAGCCAGCGTGGCTCATCATCAGTTAATTTGCAAATATTAAATAAGGAGGATTAAAAATATCTTTAAATTTTTCTCTCTTTGTCTCTAGCCCTTCTACTGTTGCGATTAATTGAGAGGCCTCTTAAACCCCTCAACTTTAATTAAATCCACCCTCTGTATTATGATAATCAAAATCTTAATTAAACCCACCCTGTGTATTATGATTGTCAAAACCTCAATAAAGTGTGCAATTGAACTTACCTTTTTGTTTTGCTTGCTTAACTTCGTCAATTTCCCAAGGGATGAACCTTTCCCGCCCGATATGTCACCAAAAAGGGAAATCTCATCCGTAAATTTTACTACTAGTGGTACAACTGAAAACAAAAATTAATAACGAAATTATCATCTGATTTATTCAGAACATACAATAAAATCATAAAATTTAGATTTAAAAAAAAAACATAAGCTTTTTGAATCCGAAATCAGGGTTCTTCCAGTAATTAACATATTTAAAAACTAACACCAAAATTTTTTAAACAAAATTTATTTTAATAAGTTTGTATTCACCCCTATGCTTAAGATCTTCAGGCCATATATATATTGACTAAGGGCGACCAAGAAATCGTTATATAGCGGTAAGCAAAATTCGAAATATATATATATATATGCTTTGCCGCATTTGTATCTTTTAAATCTATTTTCGTTTGTCGTGGTGAGAAGGTTTAGTTTTAACCTCTAATTCAAGGTTTAGTTTTAACCAAAATTAGTTTTGACCTCTTAGAGACGGGCGAGTCTAATATGCATTCTCAGGGTAGTTCAGGGATGCCAACTGCTCCGCTTTCTGGAATAGTTTTAATAAAGTGGTAGCAAATTATATAGTAAAATCGTTAGAGAAGCATAGTTACGCCCACTTTTTAATAGAGTATCCAATAGAATGATGCTGCAACGTTGCATTTGATATGATACTTATAATTTCTGATATTTAGTGGTGAGAAAATTACTTAAAATGAAAAATACTAAACTAAAAGTAACTTAAATTTCGCTACCACTAGAAAATACTATTTTACAAAACGGAGCAAGTTGGCATCTTTGGTAGTTACTATCAGCATAAAACTGGTATTAAATCTTCTAGCAGTTTATTTGTTAGCAGAATTAAAATAATTTAATTCATCACTGTTTAGTTCAAAATAAAAGTTCTATACTTGCGCTTTTTAACTAAGTAATGCTCAGACAAGGCAATCAACTTATATTAGCGTTGAAAAAAAAAAACTTTTTCTAGTAGCAACACTATAGTGTTTTGGCGTGTTAGACCTCANGTCAGAATAGAGAGATTTAGGGGGGGTCGTGGACCAATTCAATGTTTTAATTGTCAAGCATTCCACCACACTCAAAGATCATGCAACGCTGCCTCAAGATGTGTGAAATGCGCTGGCAATCATCGCTCCTATGAATGCAGAAAGGACAGACACTCTCCACCAAAATGCTGCAACTGTAGCTAATCCCACACCGCAAACTACACTGGGTGCATAGCCCGTCCCACTAGGAAGGGCTCTTGTCCGGTTCCCACAACAACAGCTGGTCTGGCTCGCAGACTTGTCATAATAATAAAAGAACTGCAAGAACTCATAAAAAATGAAGAGGTTCTCCAATTACTGCAAAGAATCATTAGAGATAATGCTCCATAATGTCATAGTCATGCCCAATTCTGGACTATCCATACTGAACTCTTCATCAGTGTAATATGTATGATTATTATCAAATTCATCTTCAATGAAAAGTAAACCAGCTCAATTGAAAACTGTATCCGATAGATGGCGACACCAATGTTAAGCAAAACTTCTGTAAATTTATCTTTTATCTTGTTATATTTGTCTTTCAACTCAAAATTTCACAATTCTAGCTCTATTTTGTCAATTGCATTTGCATATATCCTAATTTTACTCATAATTTATCACAACTTATGATTGCATCAAATTTAAATTCCATTCAATGCAAAAATATCAAATGCACTTGTTTATTTTAAATTAATTCATATTTAAATCACAACCTATGATTGCATCAAATTTAATCCCAATCAAAGCTTAAATATCAATTGTGCTTTTCATATTCACGAAAATTTCTGATTATTTCATAAATCACGACTTATATTAAATATCAAATCATGTTTAATCTGTACTTGTTTATATATTAATTTAATTTCATACTTTAATCACAACCTATGATTGTCATCAAATAAATACCAATCAATGCTTAAATATCAATAGTGCTTTTCATATTCATGAAAATTTCTGATTATTGCATAAATCATGACTTATATTAAATACAAATCATGTTTAATTTATCAAGCAAATTTGCTTGATCTTCTGTAATGCTACCTTAATGTTGCATAAATCAAAATGTTTATTATTCAACTTGTAAATATTTCATGATGGATAGGTTAGGGGGATAGGTTAGGGGCATGATGGATAGGTTAGGGGTTAGGATAGGTTTCATGATGGATAGGTTAGGGGCCGCTGCGCGGCCTAGGCACCCAATTTTAGTTAAATAAAGTAAAGAAAGAACTATGAATGCAGAGATGCCAACTTGCTCCGGACAGCAAATATATATTTTAAAGTGGTAGTTTATCAATTGTGATTCTTTGTTTAATAAATTCAATTTAGTAGATTCTTATCCACCACTATTTCTAAATATTTCGTAGGCTTATGTAATTTACCACTTTACAGTAGTTATGTCATGCTATACCTCTTAAAAAGCAAGCAATAAAAGTCAACTATTTGCAAAATTTACTTTGTAGTTATTAACCGTTTTTATAATTATTTTGGCGTGCCCGAAGCAGTTGGCATCTCTGTGAATGTAAAAAGTGGTGAAAATTTCGTTTTATTTATTTATTCAATTGTAACAACCACTATGACTTACAAACATTTAATAAAATTTAGAATTTTACTGTCAGAATATTTTATTGTCCGTACCAAAACGGCATAGGTAATTAAACTAACAGAAATTTAGATATCAAGTTGTTTTTTTAATCCATCGTCTTGAGTTAATTACTATAGTTGGATGGAATCAGATGGTATAGTGTGGTATTATTATGTCCTATGATACTTAGTAATTTTTGACAAAACCTATGATTTGATTCTATGTATATAACTGACAGCGATATAGTTTTATTATTCGTCATAGTCTTGCTGTTTGTTAAGTGCATAATAAATAGTTCGGTATATTTGAAATAGTCTTTTAACATTACTCGCATTAAAGATTTCCTTCATAAAACGTACAAGTTGATATAAATTGTTTAAAATAGTCTATAAATAACTTACTCTGAGGACGTGAGATTTTGATTGAAGGGAGATCACGTTCTTTAGATGCTTCCTTAAACGTTCTGTGGGAAAATATAGAAAGTAATTAATTAAATAATTGTGAAACTTTTCGGGAGCGACCACTTTTTGTTCCACAGTAAAATGATCGTTAATGGAGGCATGTCGTTCTTAGGAGTTATTTCCATTGACTTCAAAATGTTATGGAAGGTACATGATTTTTCGCAAGCGATTTTAATTTTACTCGGTGTCATTTTCTTGGTGCTGAAATGCCCCACTTTTGTTGGCGTTATGAAACCGGATGGGTGAATAAAATTCAGCGTCCATAGAAATGACCTTCACTGATATAATTATGTCTAAAAAATATTTAACAATTGTGAATTACGGAACTATTTTAAACATTTTTGCTTAAGAGTCTATTTAATTTTATAACAGAAAAATGAGTGTACTTTTAGAAAAAATGAGGGGTTTATTTGTTTAAGATGTAGGGGAGAGTGGGGTCAATTGTAACATTTTTTACTTAACTATTTTTAACTAACAAAAAATCCAATATATTATTAGTATTAATTGACAATAATTAATTAGTATTAATTAATTAGTTAGTAATTAATTAGTATTAATTGACAATAAATACCTTATTTTAAATGTTATTATATTAGTTATTAACAATTTTTGACAGTCGTGCACTTGTTACAATTGTCCCCACAATTGTAACAGTTCATAAATTCAACTAAAACATAGTTAATTATACATATTATCATAGTTGTGATACATTTTTTTATGGATCAAAATAGTGGTGATATTTTAGGAGTAAAAATAATACTGAGCAGAGACCTAAAGGGTTAAACTTTTAACTTTAAGGGGTTAAAAATTTTAATTTATGCTGTGAAAAGTGACAAATTAAATAATGCACATGGAACATAGTATAATTGATATAGGAAGCTATTGGTGGTTCTTAAAGAGTTAAGTAATGGTTTGTAAACATAAGATTATTAATTTCAGCTGTTACAATCGTCTCTTTACTTATTGTTACAATCGTCCCCAAGACGCCACTTCAGCTTCATTTGTTAAAAACAATGCTAGTTAATTAACAAAACTAATCTTTTTTTTTGAAATGTTAATTAAGGTGTCCACTTACATATTCGGTTAATAATTTTTATTTGTTTAAACAAAATTACTTTGTTACAATATAATATTCTAATACCAAAAAAAGTACTTACGTGGCGTGAAAATATCTTTTGTGATGTAACTCTTTCAAAAGTACATAAAAATGGTTGCCAGCAGGGGTGTACATGTAGATTTATTAAATACACCTTGTGCGCCACCTAGGAACCAAATCTAGAACCCGTCACTCGAAATTTTTGCTCTGTTACAATCGTACCCTGTTACAATTGACCCCACTCTCCTCTACAGTTTTTTCTGAATAATTCTTTTTTATAGTTTAACTTTTAACTCTAAATCGTTGATAGCATCGTCTTCAGTACACTCTGACTGAAATATGAGGTTGTCTATCACTTTCAGCAATCGTCATAAAGAACATCCTAATTAAAAACTATTTACAAATACATTTGAATCTATTTAATTGTTTTGTTAATATATTATATATATTTTTTGTGTTTCCCTGCTTGACCTTTTTCCGCATTTAGTGCGGAGATTTACCCGGTTACTGGGAGAGGTTTTGATACTCTCTCCTAAAGGTTATCTTCAGCACAAAGTCTATGAAAGGAATTCCGTGCCTCCCAAAAGTGGTCGCTACACAGAGGTGGTGGTCTTTCCTTGAGGTATCAATTAAGAACATTATTGCAGAATAATAATATCATCAAGCATTATTGCATGAAACATTGTTTACGAAAGAACAATGGTCTCATAGGAGTGTTTATCCAAAAAATGAGAAAAAACTCGCACTAAGACAAATTCATAGTAATCTTCCAAATCTCACCAACAACTATTTTCACGTACAAATAGTTAATTCAGTGGACGGGTGTGTATCTATTAACAATTACACACCTGTGCAAGGGGATTATTACTCGAAAAATCTGTTTGACGCCAAAGACGAGAGGAGTCACAAAAGGGAAAACCGATTTACTTCATTTTTGAGTGACTCTGAGGATTCATTCTATCCTTTCTGAGGGAGGAAATTGAGGATTTTTCCGAGCCATAGGGGATTTAGAGGGAGAAAAGCTTTCCTGTTCTCGCCAGGAAATGAGATAGGAATTTTGAAATGGGGATAATTCAGTAAGGAGAAAAAAAGTTTACCCAGAAAAATATTTATTCAAAGATTCAAAGAATAATTATTTCACTAAATTGTTGAATGAATTTATTAAGAACGAATATATTAAAATGAATTTATTAAAAATTAATATCATCTTGAATTTAAAATCCGAGTTTTAAAATTTTTTGTTCGTTTATCTCTTATGAAAGAATATTATTAAAACTTGACTTCTATAAAAAAAAAATCTATTAAATTCGCTCTATTAAATTAAATTAAACATCACACGACGCTATCGAGTATCTTTATAGTTTTCTCATGCACATCCACACGTGCAGGAAGGGGGGTGAGGGACTCGGACGCGAACTTTTTATAGCCACCTTGCCTTAAAAACTAATGGGGATTATAGCGAGGATGCCAACTGCTCAGTTTTCTGAGAAAGTTTTAATAAATTAGTAGCGAATTGAGTTGTAAAACTTACAGAGTAAAGATAAGTACGCTTACACTTGAAATTCTTCACCATGAGATAATTGTTATAAAGTTGCATTTTATATGATACTTTGAATATTTGGTATGTGTGTAGCATTAGAAAAACTACTGAAAATGAAAAAGACTAAACTGAAAATAAGTTAAATTGCGTTACCACTAGAAAATAATATTTTTTGCTAAGCGGAACAAATTGGCATCTCTGAACTGAGGGCAGTTTTCTCACGGGGACACTTCTTAACAGTGTCATTATGAGTAGGTGTAATTATCCTTATTCTATATGTTTTGCTATTTAATCGTTACCAATTTATTAAAACTTAAACTACCAATTCGTTACCAATTTATTTTTTACAAAGCAAATTGATATCTCTTATCTTATAAATTTGATTAATCTTATAAATCTCTACAAGCAAATTGATATCTCTGGATTTTACGAAAAAGAAAGCAGAAACAATTCTGTTGCATTAAACACATTCATACTGATGCGACCACTTTATGTAATGTTTCCCCGATTGTTTATCGGGAAAATGCATAAGGTGCATTAATTTTTCATTATAAAACAAATGAAACCGGGACATACTATTTACATATAAATTCTGATAGCTATGGAAAAATTCTTTGGAAAAAGGTGTATAAGGGGGCATGTTAGTAAGAAAATGACTTACGTGACAAAATGCAGTCCATAACCTTTTTTGTTCGCCACAGAAAACTCTACAAATGAAACTTCAGAGAATCCATCTCTCCTCTGAAGTTTTATTTGCTTCTTTGCAAGAAGTCCAGTTATTTCATGAGTCGCACCATTTACTGAAAACAATACGAATAATAGTTTGAATCTATTTTTAACAGCAACAATATCAGCAATAAATAACTCAATCCTTCAAGTTAGTAACAATTTGAATTTGATAACAATATAAATCGCAATACACGATAACAGTATACAAGAAATACAGAAATAACATACAGGTTAGCCAGGCGATATTGAAATCTCGATATAGTGAACAGTCTATTGTAGTGGAAGCTTTTGTGATCTCATACGAAATGCTATTTTAAACTAATTTTTTTCTCATGTGACTGTGAAAATTATGACTTTCAACTCAAATGAAATACACAATGTGTTAAAATAAGTAATTTTGTTGGAAAATGAGTCATATTAAAAATGTGTAAATAAATCATTTTGCTCGAAACGAGTCATATTTAAAATGCTTAAAATGATTCAATTCGCTAGAAAATGAGACATATTTTGCTCAGTAAATTAATTGGCTGATAAAAACAAGCACATTGGAGAGCGAGTAAGTTTGCCTTTTACTTACAATTATCTTCAAAAATAACGAAAATCATAAAGATAAAGTTATAAAAAATTCCAAAATGTAAGAAAATCGGGAAGCAAAATATCGAAACATTTGTTTTAAGGAAACAAATACTTTGTCAAATGGGGAATATTTTGAACGTTAATGAAAGAAATTAGCTGTAGAAAGACTATTTAGATTTAGTTATTCAATAATTTATAAAGCAAATTTCGTACAGTTGTACTCATTTTTTCCAACAGCACTACTGAATATTCTTCAAAGATTTTAGATATAGGGAACAATCATTCATACCGAACTTATAGGTTGGTCTGAAGGTGGGTCACTGTAGCGTTATATAGCATATAGCACCTTAAAAGCGTTGCTTTATGTACTACATTTTTCATAACTTGAGTATACTCTTTGCGCAGATCGAACAGTTTTTCAAAATTTAATTTTAAAGAGGATCAATTGCCAATATTTTAAAAAGGCTCAATAATTCATAACTGATACTTGAATTATTTTAAAGTAGTTGTGGGTAAAAACCCTTTAAATTGAATTTGCTAAATCAAGAAACATACTATAAAAGACTACCACTCGAAAATCCGGGTGTCCGCTGTCCGGAGTAAATTGGCGTCTCTGCGAAAGCTAATTTTTCCCAACACTTGATCCAGGAGTTTTGTTACCTTCTGGATTGGATTCAAAACTACAAGACTACGAAGTTGAACATTGATAGTCGTCAACTCAGAAATCGACTGTTCAACGCCGGTTATAGAAACTGTGGAAAAAAGCATAAACGCCATCGAAATCTGATGTATCAACCATGCAGGTGACGAAAGAAATAAACAATAAAACTGGTTTGATTGCAGGTGGAAAAAGAGAAAACCGAAAGACAATTATCAGAAATACTTTCAAGTTTCAACCTGCAATAAACCTGTTTCGATGTAAGTTACACCCCTTTCCTCTACTGCAATTTGATAAATTTCGTTTTGCTTCCCCACCCCCAGCTTCAATAAGGATCTTCGACCCCTCTCCCCATATGTGTAGATTTTTGCATTCCTTTTAGATAAGAATTCTAAAAATACATATCGAAAGCTGTTTTAACAGGACACCCCATATAACAGGAATCGAGAGTATTTGCCTGCAATTTTATTTCTTTCATAAATCCAGAACCAGTTGTGATAGATGATCTTAAAATTCGGACAGAAAGAGCAAATGGGCAATTTCGCTCTTAAATTTCGTTCATAAATTTCAATCCGTTCCAGGAAGAAGGGGTACGTTTGAAAAGTAAATTTTTTTTTCTATAAATGAAGCATTGTTAAAAATAAATAAATCTTTTTGTTAAAGGAAAAATATTTAAAAATAACATCAGTGAAATTTGCTAGCTTTTCGGTTAGATCAAAATGTTATTTCACCGAGAGTTTATTGTACGTTAATATAAAATTATTTACTTTCGATCATGTTAGGTAATCAATGGTTAAATGTCAGCAGTATTTTTTTTAAAAATTTTTTATAAACGGCGTAGGACTACCGACTTGATTCTGAGTTAACGACTATCAATGTTCAGCTCCTTCGCTTTTATAACTTTGAACCCAACATAGAGGACAATGTTACTCCTGGATCAGTGATGGATCAATGAGGTGGTCCGGGTTCGAATTCTAACTATATACAAATCGATACATATGGCTCACTGGTAGACGAATTGTGAGTTAGAGTCCCCATCCTGTCATGCTAATCGTGGGAGGTTTTCCTCTCCGTGTGACGCAAATGCGGGTTAGTTCTAGCAAAACTTCTTCCGCGAAGGTAAATGTTTCCCACTACTTAACCCAGGAGTTTCTTTGTCTTCTGAATTGGGTTACAAATTGCAAAGCTGCGGAGTTGAATATTAGTAGTCGTAAGCCCTATATGAGGTCCGGTGTTTGATTACTGTTAAGAAGGTGGACAAAGTAACCTTCGTGGAAAACGTTTCGATGGAACTAGTCCGCATTAGCGTTATATGGAAAGGACAACCACGAAAATCTCCTGGATGGGGACTCTGACCCATGATTAGTTTACCACTGAGGATACTTTACGTCAGTACAAAGGTCGGCGCGAATATCTGTTGAAACGGAGAATGCAGGACTGTTAACGCTTTATGGGAATTTTTTTTCCAGTGGTTATAATATATGATACTTTGTTTAGTAAATTAGATAAAAAGCTATTTTAAGCACAACTTCATATCAATGTTTTAACCTTTTCGCGCCGACTGTCACAAATGCGTGACAGAATAAAAACGTATTAATCAGGGTAAAAAGATAAAACTGGTAATCAAAGTAATTCTTTAGCAATTTATTTGTGGGTGGGGTTATAATTTTTTGATTTATTTTAGTCACCATTACTTAGTTCAAAATAAAATTATTTAGTTATACTTTGAACTAACCTTGATTATATATATGAATAAACTAACAATAATTAAAGTAATAGCAAAGTAAACTAAGGTAAACAACGTTAAAGAGCACAAAAATATTATTAAAAGTCTATTAAATTAGCAACGCCTGCATTTAAGCTACCGTTTTTTATTTATGTACATCCAGATTCTGATTTTGTACGAATGCTTTTAAGAATCACCCGTCCCCAAGGGGTTAATAGTTAGTACCACTTGGTTTTACATTAGCCGAGTTCCCACGAAGTGAGCCTCTTAAAAAAGTTAATAAATTTTGAAGGTCTCAACAAAATATATTGAAAATGGCGTAGTATTTGGCTGTTCTGTGAACATTGATTCTAAAAGTAAGTTGTCAAAGCGATATGATAGGTAACAATAGGCTCTTTCTTCTGAAATGTGGTAACAAATTCCCGAAAATCTTTTTTTGATAAAAGGATAACTTAGTCAGCGATTATCACAACATTGCTTCAAAGTAAATAAATAAATAGATAAATGAATAAATAAAATAAATAAATAAATAAATTGGGGATAAAATTGTAATAAGGGAAAGATCGCTTTAGCTCATTAATACTAGAAATGTATTAATAAATGCCTTTTACTTAAATCGTCATAGTATAATATTGTTCAGCTAAAGAACCGAAAAATGTATTTCCCCATAAAACTTTTATCGTAATAGCGGATTTCTCCTAATATAACGTAATCGTTATATCGAACTTTTATTGTATTTGCTTTTTGTTTTGTATGTGAGAGGAAACATGTATTGGAAGTTACCTGTACTGACGATACTTTTTTGAGAAGAATTTGGAAATACACAATCCGGAACTTTCGTCTTCTTAATGACGTTTAAACTACCATCGGGGCTTATCACAAATCCAGACTCCAGTCTAAAAAAAAATAGAATATATAATAATTTAATGCACGAAATAAATACGAATGCAATATTCAGTGCACCAGTGATCTCCAACCTTTTTATCGCCAGTCTGCGGTCCTGGGGTTGGAGACCACTGCTTTTCACGATATTCTTTTTTCTAATGGCAGGCACTGAATTTGAATCTTTGCCTATGAAGATGCCGGAATTGTTGCTCATTTAGCGTTACCCAGTGGGCACCTGTGAACCAAAGTCCCGAATGCGAGCAACGTTGCCCACGTCACACTGCCACAAACCCGTTTATAGGATGGGCTACATTCACACACACACACAACAGAGGACAGCACAAAGAGCGAGAGAAACATCCATGCCCAGAGCGGGATTCGAACCCGCAGCCAATGGCTTCGCAGTCAGGCGCGTTAACCGCTCGGCCATCTGGCCGGCGCTTTTCACGATATAATATTGTTTTTTCTTTAATTTAAAATTTTTTAATTCTTTTGAGTCTAAATATGTCTAATAGAAGTAAAATGAGATTTAAAATGGCAAGTGAGTGTGGTGTGGGTAATGCTGCTCGCCTTCGTGACTTAGGTTCACAGGTACCCACCAGGTAAAGTTACAGAGCAGCACACGAAGAAGGAAAGTTGAGAGCCCACTGTTAAAAAAATTTTTAAAAAAATTTATTTTTAATGCGTCATATTTATAATAGAATGTGATAATAATAATTAACAGTGAAAAAAATTGATATATTTATAATTTTGTAATTGCTAATATTTAATGTATGTTATAAGGCAAATTAATAAAATTAGTATATCAAAATCCTGTGAATGATAATTGAAATAATAATAATTAGATACCGTGATTATAGCAATCAACTTATAAATACCATTTCAGAACTATTAGAATAACATTTCAGAAGAATCGAAAAAGATTGACTTATCTTGTTCTACTACTTTGTTCATGAAACTGTTAATAATTTATGCTCGTGTTTTATCTTGAACTCTACCCCGTTAAATGTTCTCATGATTTTTAAATTCACTTAAAATACTTGTGGCAAAATTAATAAGTGCACAAAAAATATTATTATTATTGTTTGCAGTCTAAATTTTTCTATGTTTGTCTTATCTTATTCTTACGAGATAAAAAATACGATGTAAAAATGTTACATAATTAATTTTAATTTAGGAATGATGAACACTTAATCTATATCTTTCCGTTGCAAAAATTAAATTCACCGAGACAACTATAGTTTATTAAAAAGTAGAGTATGTTTATTGCATCTCTGCTATATCTATTAATTAAAGTTATAGTCATGAAACGTTTAATTCTGCTTAAAAAAAAAGGAAATATTGAAATGTTCTTATCTACCAGTTTCTTGCCTTCTCCTATTAAATTGCTGCACTCTATTAATTTAGTCGTATTGATTTGACGTAAAAAAATTTTAAATAAATTTTTCTATTAAAATGTAACATTATGCTTAAATGCCTATTCGACCTTTAATATATCTGATTAAATTATTTATATGTAGTAATGAACTGAGTTCTTGTAATTTTCTGTAACTTCGCAAATTCCGCATATATGTGTCTAAAAATTTGTTTGATTTTTGAATATGCAGAGATGCCAACTTGCTCCGGACAGCAAATATATATTATAAAGTGGTAGTTTATCAATTGTGATTCTTGGTTTAAGAAATTCAATTTGGTAGATTTTTATCCATCACTATTTCTAAATAATTCGTAGGCTTGTATAATTCACCAATTTAAAGTACTTATGCATGCTATACCTTTTAAAAGCGAGCAAAAATAGTCAATTATTTGTATAATTTACTTTGTAGTTAATTACCGTTTTTTTTTAATTATTTTTGCGTGTCCGGAGCAGTTGGCATCTCTGAATATGAATGATTTGTCTTATTTACTTGTCAACCACTACAGATTCAATTCTCAAATATATATAAAAAAATTTAAAAGGAATTCATGATCTACTCCAATGATAACCTGAGCTCTTTTGTGAAATTACTTCATGAACTCTAACATATGACTTCCTAGCATATACCATTCTAGTGTAGACGAATCGGTCAGTGGCGTTTAGCGCCTAACACCGAGATAACCCCAATATCCAATCAGTTTCTTTTAAAAAAGGGGTCTCCCTGACCATATAGTATCCACTAAACGCTGTGCAAAATGTGGAGGATTCGAATCTCACAGCAATTCTTTGAGATGTTCTCTGAATTATTCTATCTAGTTGACAAGGGTTTATAAGCCTGAAAATGTATGTAACCCCTATAAACAATACTTTTAAAATACAATTTGGGTACAATCGCACAACTGGTTCACTTTTTAAATTGTCAGCACAAACTACTTAAAACTCATGCTGAGACTTTCTGATTTAGGCGATGATGCGCCATAACAATTACTTTGAAATTAAAGGTACCACTCTTAAAGTTACAAATGTTTATAATTTAAATATTTTTTACACAATTAAGATAACGTTAAAAATTATTCAAAAATATTAAATTGTGTTTTAAAATGATTCAGTGCTTATATTAGCCCAATCAACATTTTGACGTAATCGGGGTGCAAAGGGTTAAAAAGAACACTCCTAGAAAAATGTCAAACATACCCGAGGAAATGATTCGATCCATTGCTTAACAAATGAAAACCAAATCCATTCTGAAATGTATAATAATACATTATACATAAAATTCATAATAACAATAAAACGTCCCCACATTCACAACTATTTCAAAATTTGTGCCTAAATTTAAAAACCAAGAATTTTTCAATCCATTAAACCCAAGCCAATGGCGTACTTTATATATACATGGTGCCAACGTAAAGAAAGTGTTAGTATATATTTATATTTTTTAGGAGGGTATTTCTTATTGTTACCATTTCAGCTTAAAAACAAACACTGTACATTCAGGTCACATTAAAAAAAAAACAAGTATTTATATTATAAATATGTTATGATAGACAGAATTATCTTGTTTAAGCGAAATAAATTAAACTATGCGGCGCGACAGCCCAAAGAGGGCCAAGGTCTGGTGTACCCATCTCAGCTTTCTTGACCTTGGGCTCAGGAGAGCAGGGGTCGATGTTTCAGTTGGGTGGTCAGCCGAGTGCGGAACTCCCAGTGTTTAGTCCTCAAGCATGTTTGGTATTCATTTTATCGATCCGCTGAAAGGACGAGAGACTGAATCAACATTACCCGGTTCGAGAATCGAACCCAGGATCAGCGGCACGAGAGCGCGAAGCGCTACCACTCAGACACCGAATAAATCTTAATAATAAAACACATGTTCTACCACGTTTTTCCTTTTGGCAAAAAGAAACCGTGCTTTTTAAAGGACGCTAGGCACAAATTAATTGAAATTAGAGCATTTCGAGTAAAAAAAACTCGTAAATTAGACAAAAATTAAAATCGTATTTATTTATTTATAAAAAGCATTCCTGCAACTGCCCCTTTTTCGCCAGGGGCCAAGGAAATTAGGACTCCACTATTTCGTGACCAACGGCATGGTTGTGGCAAAGTGATCAACACTGCGCAAAGGCCGTCTTTATGTCCCTGACAAGCTGTTACTCATCAATATGAAGCTGCGCTGTCTTCAAATCCCCGCTACTGGGGATCGAACCTCAGTTCTTATTTATTTGTACTACTTTATTTTTGTTCTGCTTTTTATACTCCTTAGTTATTTATGATTGTTATATTCATTTATTTATTTATTCACGATTTTTATTTATTTATTTCTTTTCGTCTACGTAGTCGCACGTTTTTTAACTGTACTTTGAGTAACAATCGTCCTTATCCTGATTCGAAACGAAATTTAAGAAAAAAATTCTAGCGTAAGAGCCTTTTGTTCTTGTTAAAAAAAACAATGAAGAATATATTTCTATTGATATCTTTCTGAATTTTTCATTTTTTTAAAAAAATTTTATTTAGTGCATGCATAGAAGTATAGAAGTCTTAAAAAAAATTTACTAGTATCAAAATTGTGAAAGGAAAAAAAATCATTTTAAAAGTTAGTTTATTGATATCAAAATTGCATACCAGCGGAACGTATCCCACTAATATTGGACATCTAAATGTAGCTGCCATCTGACTATCACCTGCAGAACAAAAAATAATAATACATTAAAGCGTCTTTCCTGTAGTAAAACAAAGCAACTACAGCGGAATCTTCATAGTTTTAAGGAAATACGATGTTTTATAGTAGCGTTAACAGGAGTAATATTTGTATTCATATTTTAAGAAATTAGAACTTAAAAGAATTTCATCCAACAGTAAACAAAAGTATTTTAAAAGAGAAATATAAGGTCAAAGCGACAAACGCCTAAGTTCAAAAGAAGTTTTTTTTTTTTTTAATTTAAAAGAAAAGTTTGCTTGTTACAAAAAATTTGCCTTTCATCATTTCATCATGCTGAAAGCTCTGAATGATAAAAGGCAAAACTTTTTTTATAATCTTTCTCATAGCCTTATCTTATTATCTCCCACAGCCTTATTTATTTATGAAAGATTATAAAACTTTTTTACAATATTTCCCATAGCCTTATTTATTTATGAAAGATTATAAAACTTTTTTATAATCTCTCCCAAAGCCTTATCTTATTGTCTCCCACAACCTTATTTATTTATGAAAGATTTTAAAACTTTTTTATAATCATACCCACAGCCTTATCTTCTTATCTCCCACAGCCTTATTTATTTATGAATGATTATAAAACTTTTTTACAATATATCCCATAGCCTTATTTATTTATGAAAGATTATAAAACTTTTTTTATAATCTTTCCCAAAGCCTTATCTTATTATCTCCCACAACCTTATTTATTTATGAAAGATTTTAAAACTTTTTTATAATCTTACCCACAACCTTATCTTCTTATCTCCCACAGCCTTATTTATTTATGAAAGATTATAAAACTTTTTTATAATCTTTACCATAGCCTTATCTTAATATATTCCACAGCCTTATTTATTTATGAAAGATTATAAAACTTTTTTATAATCTTTCACATAGCCTTATCTTATTGTCTCCCACAGCCTTATTTATTAATAAATAAAAAAAAAGCGGAGGGACAGCAATGCATAATATTTACTTCCGCCAAAATTATGAATATGCTTTGATAATTTTAATTTGAAAAAAAGAAATATAACTTTTTCAAAGACAATATATGGCGTTTTTACAGAGCGTTTTACTAACAAAGCCATTTAGCGCCAACTAAAAAAATTCCATTTTTTTTTCACCTTAGTATTACTCACCCAAGTTCCTCTGCCTGTCTCCGAATAAATGCATCTCGTAGTCTTGTTTATCGTTCACAGAAACTGTACACGTGAGATTTCCCACTTGCGAATAGAAATTTATCGTTTCTTGAAGTCTGAAATAAATTTTTAATAATAGTTCATTTACACATTTTTAATAGTAAAATTTAAAAAAACAATTGTCACCACTGAAAATAAATAAAGAAAAATAAATCTATTTTCCAATCATTCTTAATGTTAATTAGCATTAAAACCCCTGCAAAACAATAAAAGTAACATGGCACTTAACACAAAAAGACATATTTACCTTATGTGCAATACTATTCTACGCATCCCCGGGCGGGGGGGGGGGGGTTCTAACAAACAGCCAAAAAACAAAAACACTAAGCATTTTTGAGCACAAAATACTTAGACGTTTCACCGGGTCACCCTGGGTTGCTCGAAACAATACCTTATATAACGACCTAAAAATTGACCAATATTTATTTAAACTAAACGCTTCCTTTTTTAATGGCGCTGAAGATTGTAATACCTGCGACTTCAATAAACTATTAGACTTAGACATTATAAAAAATAATGCAAATTTCAGTTCAATAACCGCATTCTTTCTCAGCGATTGCCTATTATCAAAATATTACCGATATTTTTAATATTATCTCCCTTACCATAGACAAACTATGCACTCTGCACCTGAGAAGCCCGGCTACCTGGAGAGTGCATAGAGAGTCTTCCCCTCTTGTAAATATTTTTCTTTTATTTCTTATTCTAATTAATTTTTTTATGTATCAAAATGCGATTTAACTTTTATATACGTATCCCAGACTTTATTTTATCTGTAAAATGCTTACAATTGAGACTTAACTTCAGTTAACCCCCGCACCACCCTTCCCATCCTCCTATTAAATATAACTGAGCAGATATCCTCCAAGGATAGGCACTCCAATAAAACTGTATCAGTCAGACATAAATTTAATTAGCATTTATCCGATCGAAAACATAAGATAATTAAGTGTAAACGGAACAAAGAAATAACATTATGTTCAGAGAAACACTCGATGAAACATATAGCATACCTGCCAACTTTCACTCTTTCCGAGAATGGACTTTCCAAGTGGTAGTAAAACAATAAACGTAAAACAATCTGACTCAAAAATATTAAATTATTTTGACCACGTTAAAATTCGCTTTCGTATTGGTTATTATGCAATTACATATTTATTGTAAATATTTATATGTAGTGGTGGTCAAACTCATTTATAATTGTCATTATAATTCAAAAAGTCAATAGAATAACATGAGTCTCGCTACCACTTTAAATGCGAAAATAAAATCTTCCGGGAAAACCGGAAAAGTTGTCAGCTGTGATGTCGTGCAGGTAGGGCCTATTGTTTCGGTTAACGCACTTGTCATCGAAGTTTAGCGGACAAGCACTTCAAAACTTAAGCATATTTTTACTGAGCCAATAATGAGTAAAAAATTCAAATAAAATATTAAAGATTTAGTTTTTTTAAAAAACTGGTAGAAATAAAAAATGCGTTTTAATGTTTTGTATAAATAATCGATCAACCACAAGAATCACATTGATGTAAAAAGTGCTAATGCAGTAAAGGTGGCAATGCATATATGATCTGCAGATCTCGAACTTGCTAGATGAGTAGAAATATACAAAAAACTGAATTATCAAAAAATGGTATTAAAATATACTAACATCTCTTTTTCTAAATATTTTGAATTTTAAAAAAATACCCCTTTTTTAATAAAATATGGATTTTTTACAAGAAACTACTATTTAATGATGATTCAAATGTTGTTTACTTAAAAGTAGTGTATAATTTCTTAAATCAAAAAGACTAAAATTCTTCTCTTAGTAACTATATATATATATTTTTATTATTTATAACCGGATATAAAAAATTTTATGAAATATAAATGTAAAAACTTTTTAGTATATTAAAAAGTCCTCTTTAATATTTTCTAATATATATATATATTTATGTTTCATTTTGAGAAAGCTTAGACAGATAACCATGACTCTGATTTGAAAGGTGGTAGACCAGAGTACCAGCCAGCGAAGCGGGCATCTAACTCCTTCATCTGTGATTTATATAGGTGGCTGGGACTTAAATATAAGATAACCATGAGGTCTTGTCGGGTCTGTCTGGTAAAACTGGGCATCTAAGTCCGAAATTGGCCCTTTTCCCATTCATCATGAAGTAGAAGATGTATACATAGAGAATTGGTTACAATGTTGAGAAGTCCAAAATGAGGTGGTGAGAAAAAGGGCACTTTTCCATGGTGCTACAAAAGATAAAGCTGTAGGTGTGGAAAAACTGGAAGATGACTTGAAATGAGTAGAGTGTGATCAACAACAAAAAAAGAACTCTACTATGCTTTAGCTTGAAGAAAACATCTCGCTGCTTGAATACTTATTTCGATGAGGTAATTGGCATCACAAGTCTTCGCTACTAATTTAACCCGAATGAACCTATCGTCCGACAGTGGAGTATAGTTTCGCAGGACCCCTATTAGTTATCTTTTTAATGGACCTAATCCACATTTGAGTTACATAGAGTGGAAAGCCTCCCACGGTTAACCTGACGGGACACTCTTCCTTCAGACGTGGGTAAGTACCTGGAAATAATCCTTAAGCGCATAGCCCACCAGTATGGCTTATGGACGTGGTTATTTAAAATCAACAGATTTGTGAATTAAGCGGATGAATGACATTGCTAAATATGTTACCCATCTTTACAGTGATTGTTTTTGTGATGATAAGTCACTTTAAGTAATATGTAGTTTTCATTTCATTTCTTTGAACAAGAGGTTGAGAATAGTAAAGTTGCTACAAATATAATATGCTATTTATAGATAAAAATATAAACACTACTTTCAAAGTTATCATAAACACAAAATCACATTGTAACACATTTTCAGGACTTCAATAGTTAAAGATAGTGGGACTTAGTTATTTTACATATGAAGATATCGTAGGAACTTACAGTTGAAGTGGAGGATAAATAGATTTCCATTCCTTCGAAGCAAGTAAATGGGTGAAACCTTTAATATTCTTATCAAGTGTTGGATCATAAACATCCGATGATGCGCACCACCTATAATTGAAAACACATTTTGTAAAAGAGAAAAAATTTCTTTTAAACCACTTGTTAGTACTCTTGTTTATTTATTAATCTCAATCGTTATTTTAACCACTTCCTTTACTAATCTTTTATTTTATTTTATTATTAACCCCTTGGGTACGGTTGACTCAGAATAGCATTCGTACAAAATCAGAATCAAGGTGTAATTAAATAAAAAAAACGGTAACTTAAACGTAGTCGTTGCTAATGTGACAGACTTACTTTGCTTTTACTTTAATTATTGTTAGTTTAATCATATAATCAATGTTAATTCAAAGTATAACTAAATAGTTTTATTTTGAACTAAGTAATGGTGAATTAAATAAATCAAACAATTATAACCCCGCCCACAAATAAACTGCTAGAGAACTCTACTTTGGTTACCAGTTTTATCTTCTTACCTTGATAGTTGATTGATACGGTTTTATGCTGGCACGTATTTGTGACACTCGGCGCGATAGGGTTAAACATATGACACTACATCAAAACAAAACATAAAGCTTCTCTAATGAGTTTTTAATATTTTTAAGTAAAAAAAAATACTTTTAGCATAGCTGACAATTCTTACAGATTTTGTGGAAGATTCTTTTTTACATTTAGCGTGATAGTAAATATTTTGCTTTTTTATTTCACATTTGAATTTAAGAATTTTATTAAGAATGATTTGTAACTTTAAAAAACACATCACCGTAAGGCATACTCGAAAGCAATACTTAACCTTAAAGTTTAAAAAATAATAATAAAAATAATCGTTTATCACACAGAAAGATCGCATATTGGGTAAGATAACCAACATGTACAAGATTTAGGTATTTTTTATACATAGATCTCCTTTTTAAGATGGACATTAAAGGGTTAAAACACATTAGGCACAGTTTGTTTAAGGTGCATTATAATGATTTGGTTAAGATACATTATAATTTTTTTTTCCTTTAAAAATTTTAATTAAGCTTCACTTCTAATCACATAACTTTTTAATTATATAAAATAAACATATTTTTAAAACATGATTCTATAAACAATTCAAAACTCTTACGTGCAATTTAAATTACTTACAGGAAAACAAATTTGACAAATGCTATTTCTTGGGAATTTTCGTCACTCTCAGAATTTTTTCTGAAAAATATGAATGAAACGAATTAGAAATAAAAGGAAATTCAAAACGAAATATTTGAAACTTAAATCCAATCATTTACATCTTAATTTTCTGAAAAGACAAATACATAAATGATTCTTTGAAAATAAATTAAGAAAAACAATGATTTTTTAATTTTTTTCAAAATGTTATAATTGTTTGTTCCAATTTAATAAAATAAAGTAACATTTAATTTAGAATTATTAATTTTAATTTTAAATGTGCTTTCTTAAATGAAAAGATACATAAATACTTTACTTATATTTGAATAAATAAAAAATATACGAGAAAAAAATTTAATCTAAGGGCCCCAAAAATTTTAATGGCCAAGGGCCCCGCTTACACTTTAACCGCCCCTGTGAAACGGTGCGTGTAATTGCAGTATATAATCTAGATTCTTTCTGCAGAGTGTACACCGTATAGCTGATTGACTTCCAAATTAAATATCTTGAAAACAATGAAGGAAGAATGAAACAAACCATTGCGAACATTTTATCCAGAAATGTTGCTGTTTAGTTACAAAAGGTGCCAGCGCAAGAAGTCATCACTTGACAAGAGCAATTACTTATTGCCTAAAAATGTGAAATAAGTTTGTTGCATAGGGTTAAGAGATTTTACCCGTTCGTTATATTTGGCAATTAATGTGTCTATCATAGCTGCCAACTCTTCCGGTTTTCCCGGAAGATTTTATTTTCATATTTAAAGTGCTAGCGAAATTCATGTTATTTCACTAAACTTTTTGAATTATAATAATAATTTTAAATCAGTTTGACCACCACTACATATAAATAATTACAACAAATATATAAAAGCATATTAGTCCTCACAATAGCGAATGTCAACCTGGTTAAAATATAACTATATTTTTGAGGAAGATACTTGGAAAATCCATTCTTGAAAAGAGTGAATGTTGGCAGTTATGGTCTATAACTGGAATGTTGGTGATCGAAATAAGCTATAAGTTGAACTGAGCAAAACTCTTCGTCTATCGCAACACTTCGCATGCCTTTACCATTAGCGGGTGAACAGTCATGGGAGAAGGAAGTACGTAAGTTTCTTATTTAATTTACAAACAAATTTTAAAAAATTTAAGTCAGGAAACTTTATTCAACTCAAAACTGCATTAAACATAGTTCTTCAAGAGTGCATCGTGGAAATTTTAGAAAATATTTTTCACAATTAAATATGAAAAAAGATACGAAGGCGGAAAATATCGTAGTACATTCTCATAGAACTGAGAGAAGAAGGGAATGTTAAGACTTAGAACCGATTTTCTTCCCACATGGCGTATTCGAGAGTAGCGTTACAATCGTGAATCTTAATTTGATTACTGTCTTACAGCTTTTGTACTTTTTTCGAGAATTTTGTAAACCATACAGCGCTATCTATTGGCTAATTTTGTAACTAAATACAAACATTTCCGTATAAATCGTTACAGCTTTCACACTAGACAAATAGTTTTTTTTATTTATTATTCTATCATCCTTTGTTTCCGAGTTTTTTAAATCATCAAGCCCTGTAATAAGTAACAAGTCAGAAATAATGTTTTCTTACATCAAAGATCCACAATATTCTATTCTCCATCGTCTCATGGGTGACACAGCCTGCATACGAAGACTACCACAAGAAAAAATCAACGATTCCTCGTTTTCTGAGTCCTGGTAATTCACGTGTTCTTCCAAATGATACGTTGTACCGTCTGCCATTTTCAGGTATATCCAAGCGTCTGCCAACTGATTACTGTATCTGGCGAGGCGAATTAGCACACATTCTGCCTTTGAGTTGACACCATAGAACAAGACTTCATCTATGGACTATGAAAAAACTTGGATGTTATAACACTTGTAACAATGCAGCCATGTAATACAATAAAAATTATTACTCTGTTTAACTTTTGTTCTAAACATTTAATAAAAATCATTAGAAAGCTATAGTGAATTGAATTGGAAGAGTTAATTAATATAGAACTAAATGAATACAATACTAAACCCTATATCAGAGAATACCCTACTCATGTGGGAGCTTTCCTGTTGTTGTCGTAGCTATCTACGGTCAAGAATTCGACTTCAACCACACCCTTACGTCACACCCATTCATACATCCATTTATTCATCCACAGATCGCAATTTTGACATGAACCAGAGGACGATAAATCTCCACTTCAGTTCCCCCAGAGGTATAATTTGTTATGGAACATAGAGGACTTCGCAACCCGATAGATTTAACGCGCACGAGTCACCATTTACTACACGGGAAGTCTTCGACCGACAGGATTCGAACTCCCGTTCTCACGAACGAGAATCCAGCCCTCCGTTGACCAGGCTATCCTGGCCTCCTGCTTTCCTGTTAATAACTGTTTAAAAAAAGACTTTTTATTTGTGTCCTGAAGGCCCATTGTGAAAAATTACATAAAGTGTAGGGGATATCCTCACTATCGCTCTCACGTTTATTTAATTCTAAATTTAAATTTACTTTTCCATTTCATCTCCTTATAATTTTACATTTTTTGTCTCATACTGCCTTAGAGCTTTCTAAATTTGACGTCGCATTTTTCTTTTCTGATCCATCTTCAAACTGATTTTTATCATGTTTTTTATAAGATTTTATTTTCTGACTTTTGTTCTAACTATCGGGTCTCCACGTACTAAAAAATGATTAATGACTTAAAGAGTATACAGTAAATACCATAATTAATATAGCTAACTATCAATTAAGTAAAATATTACACTAAAGCATACTTTCACCTAAAAAATTTCTTTTTTTTCTCAAAAGATTTCAATTTTTCTCATACAAAACTGGAGACATTGTTAAATATGGTATTAAAAGTTTAAGATGAAGAGAGGTCGAAATGTTGAGCCCTTACATGAATTTCACTTTATGTCCATTTTTCCATATCTCGGAAGCTCTTAAATCGGAAAAGAAAAAACAAAAAACGATTCGCACTTTTTATAAAAGTTCCGTCGGAAAGTAGTGTAACTAACACCTTTGATACTAGATATATTTACTCAGAGGAAGTAAAATATCCTGATAGTTACGAACTTAATATTATAAAAAAATACTGCATCAATATAACTACCACTTTTTTATTTTTTCCAATTTTGTATGAATCCCTAAATAAAATAAAAATACAGTAAAAAGGCATTTAATAAAAATACTGCTTCATAGGGTTGTTATACGAGCATAAGTTTTAGGACAGAAAAATATTGTGTATTTTATTGAAAAAGAAACTTACATTTTGCAAGTGTTTCTCGGATTGTGGAGATTCTAGATCTATTTCAATTTGAGGAGTGAGAAAACCGAGTTTCTCTGGATTGCCCAAAGCATTCGGTTGATAGATGTCAAATCTCTTTCGATTCTTTGAGTTGTTGTAACGAATCACAAGGTAGGCTATCAACCATTTCATCCAGTAGAGGAAATCTGTCATGGAAGAAGAAAATTTCGTTAAAAAACGAAGTAGGTAGGTATATTATATACGTCGCACTAGAACTGCACAATGGGCTATTGGCGACGTTCTGGGAAACATCCCTGAAGATGATCTGAAGACATGATATAGCAATTTACATCCTTTGCATAGGGGATGGCTCCTCTGCTTTGGTAGCCCGTCGACCTGCGCAGGAAGTCGATCACTTCACGGTAGAACAGTTTAACAAGGACCCGATACCGCGTACCCTAGGTCCATACGCACTCTTATCTAAGTGGTCACCCACCCGATTACGGACCTCAGCCAGTGAATTTTGACTTCAGTGTTCTACTGGGAACCGTATTTTTACGATCAGTCCACTACGGGACAAAAAACGAAGTAATATACTAGAATCAGGCTGGAACATTTCAATTAACTTTACTGGTGCACAGTGCGCAAAAAAAGAATAAATATCTAAAAATAAATAAATGGACCAAACTGAATAACTTTTGATCAAACAATCGGATCTTCACGTTCTGCGACTCACCTCCTTATGTACCTGAAATGCGAACCTTCGATTGCTGTTCGATCGTAACCGATTATTGCAATTTAACTGTAACATTACATCACAATCGAATTCGAAGAGTCACTTTTTGATTTGTATCTAATCGATAAAATAGTTCAATCAGCGCAATATTTACATAAATTAGTCACGGAGTCGAATTAAACTTTGTGACAATTTTTTATTTTCTGATCCTCCTGATTTTAATTACAGGGCCGTCATTAAAAGGAGAATATCTGCTTTGGGATTGGTCAGAAAGAGTGGGATCAAACTTTTGTCACGTGCTGGTCATGTGACAAAAAACGCTCGTAACGTTTTCAGTTGAATCAGGAAACAGAATTTTTTTTCGAATAAATCAAGGGGAAACAAGTAATTCGATCGAATTTTATTTTAATTGCATAACGGCAGGGATGCCAACTTGCTCCGCTTTGTGAAATAGTATTTTCTAGTGGTAACGAAATTTAAGTTACTTTCAGTTCAGTATTTTTCATTTAAAGTAACTTTGTCACCACTACATATCAAAAATTATAAGTATCATACAAAATGCAACATTTAAACATTCATCTACTGGTTGCTCTATTAAAAAGTAGGCGTAACTATCCTTCTTTAACGAATTTTACAATATAATTTGATACCACTTTATTAAAAATATTCCAGAAAGCGGAGCAGTTGGCATCCCTGATATATATTTTTTTCCTGTAGATGAAATTACTCTTCTGTACACCTGCGACGCTCATTATGGGGGGAGGAGAGGCAGAGAGGTAATGTAGTCTATCCCAACTATTACTCTTTTCTAAGATTAAGATCTACATCATCTATTTTTCGCTCCACTGTAAATNCCTTTCAAAGAAAGCTGTAGCAAGATTGCAACTTGATTCTGATTTTGTACGAATGCTTTTCTGAATCACCCGTCCCCAAGGGGTTAAACAGATGTAAAAAATTTAATATTTTTCCATTCAAAAATTTTAGACTATTATTAAATCAAATAATAAATATTTGCTAAAAGTTATATGTTACCTGGAATTATTTTTAGATAGACAAATTTTATAATTGTGTTCGAGAACTTTTAAATTAGCTTTAAGGGTTCTCTAGGTATAGTGAAATACGCAACAAAAAAAAGTTAACTTTAAAGTAGTCCAAACTTTTAAGCCGTTTTTCTGACCAAACTATTCAGACCACATTTCCCAGATTGCGGCTACCCAACCTATATATTTTGGAGGTCAGAATTCCAAATCAGTCGGAAAAAACTATGTTTAGTCAGAAACGTGAAGATTACAGGTACCAATAAAATATTAGACCATCGGGCATCCAAAATAAACGTAGAGTTGGGCCATCCATGGCTAACCGCAGATAGAGGTCTATATATGAAAATCATCTATGTGAAAAATATAGTATTAAATATTTCTATATACCAATTGTAAATTTCTTCAGTTATCTTTCCCTTAAACGGCAATTTTTTCAGCGAAAACACAGAACATTTTGTTTTCAAAATATCCAGATATTGTAGTTTTATGTAAGAATATTTTGTTAACCATAACGAAATAGACGATAACCTACAATTGAAAAATAGCCATCTGTTCCAGGAAAAAAATTAACCTAAGGAATGCAGATTATAAGACTCAAAAAGAAGAAATAAAAGTGAATTAATTTTATTATTCATTGACAATTAAACAGGAAACGGTTTTTATCGCTCTCAAGTTCTTTTTCAATTTTTAAAAATTTCACGATAATTATTAAAAATTATATTTGTCAACATGTAATCTTTCTCTTTTTATCTCCTATCAATTGACACCTACTCGAGTTCGAGCTTATGTAATAAAGATAAAATAAATATCTGTAACAATGGATAAATAGTAAATATTTAACGCAAAATGGCTGGAAAAAAAATCCTAAAGAAGCTCTTATGTTAGAAATGACTTTCAAACTAAATGGAATTTTGAAAAGAAATTCGAGTTAATTTCACATTAAAAGCATTTTTTTACACCACGCCAAATTCTGACTCATTAATTTCATCTTGTATCGATCTACAAAATCAAGTATTTTTTCGCTAGCAAGTTTATCAGCTACTAATTCTCAAACTAATTGTCACGAATTTTTTTAGTTTATTTTGTAGTTCTGCGAATTTTTTTTGAATTAAAAAATAAAGGAAAATTCGCAAAAAGAATTTAAAATTGCAACGGAGAGTTTTTTTTTCTGTTTGAAAAAAAAAAAAAAACTCTCTGTTAAGTTCATAAACAAGTATGATCATTTAAGTCTACCCTATTTCAACCCTATAGCTTTATTCAGGTGGTCTTTGGAGCAACCAGAATGGTATTTTCTTCTACAAATTTAACAATTAATAATTCTCGGACTACTTATTAAATGTTAATTTTTTTTGTTCCATTTTATATCTTGTAAATTTTGCTACAAACCATCGTAATTTCAAATTTCTAAATCTTAGAATTTTTGAGGAGCAAATCGCTAAATTGAACACCAAAAACGGCGGCGTTGGCTGCCCTCACGATCGCATGAAGTGATAGACATATTATGAGAGATGGAGCTGTATTGTTGTTGCTAAATAAATCTTACGCACTGCCGCTGTGGCAAGGGGACAGAGCTCTCGCTTTCCAATGATGCGACCCATGTTCGAATCCAACCTTCGCTGGTCGATACGAATTCTGCTCCTGGCTAGTAACAACCACAGTGCTGACATTAAATGTCCTCAGTGGTAGATGGATTAGAACCCATTGCCGTGGGGTAAACCGTCGACAGCCTTGGGATTTTCCTCTCCATGTAAGGCAAATATGGGGTAGTTCAATCAGAAAGTCCTCCAGAAAGAATTCTTCCAATACTTGATTCATAAGTTCTCTTGTCTTCTGGATTGAGTTCAAAATTACGAGGTTACGGAGTTGAACATGGATAGTAGTAAAACTCAAAACGGGGTCAGTTGTTCAACGATGGTGAGATAAATATGGATAGTTATATATTTTCCAATAACAAATGAATGATAAAAAGAACATGTTTTGATATAGAATTACGTTAATATTTCTCATCCATCTGTTCAATACAAAATCAAAATAAAATTTATCCAAAAATGAAGCAATAATGCTTCTCTGAAAACCCTTCTCAACGTTTATAATTTTTTTCATCTCTCCAAGAGCCTAATTCATCTTCTTTTAATATTATTTAAAGCTTATTATTTACTTAATATTATTTTTAATTTTTATATATGCTAAAAACAAATTTTGTANTACATATTTCTATTAATATAAAAAGTTTCAGAGCTTTTTATTCACTTTACTTTTTTGGGATTTTATGAACTGAAAAATGACAGTTTTCGTGAGAATGACCCATATGAAAATCATCTATGTGAAAAATATAGTATTAAATATTTCTATATACCAATTGTATATTTCTTCAGTTATCTTTCCCTTAAACGTCAATTTTTTCAGCAAAAACACAAAACATTTTGTTTTCAAAATATCCAGATATTGTAGTTTTATGTAAGAATATTTTGTTAACCATAACGAAATAGACGATAACCTACAATTGAAAAATAGCCATCTGTTCCAAGAAAAAAATCAACCTAAGGAATGCAGATTATAAGACTAAAAAAGAAGAAATAAAAGTGAAGTAATTATATTATTCGTTGACAATTAAACAGGAAACGGTTTTTATCGCTCTCAAGCTTTTTTTTAATTTTTAAAAATTTCACGATAATTATTAAAAATTATATTTGGCAACAAGTAATCTGTCTCTTTTTATCTCCTATCAATTGACACCTACTCGAGTTTGAGCTTATAAAATAAAGATAAAATAAATATCTATAACAATGGATAAATAGACAATATTTAACGCAAAGAAGCTCTTATGTTAGAAATGACTTTCAAACAAAATGAAATTTAGAAAAGAAATTCGAGTTAATTTCACATTAAAAGTATTTTTTTACACCACGCCAAATTCTAACTCATTAATTTCAGCTGACATCAATCGACAGAACCTAGTATTTTTTCGTCAACAAGTTTATCAGCTTCTCAACTAATCAAACTAATCAATACAACTTCTCAAACTAATTGTCTCGTCCGAATTATTTTATTTTATTTTGTTAGTACTTCCTGCACTTTTTTCTACACACCTTCGTTTATTCATGTTTCTAAGTGGTATAGCTTTTGTGCAGCAAAGCAGAATGTAACGCGAAGTTAAAAAAAAAAATCAAAGAAAATTCACAAAAAGAACTTAAAATTTCAACAACTTTCGAGCAAATAGGAATTTTTGTAAAAAAACTGTCTGTTAAGTTCATAAACAAGTATGATCTCTTCAACCTGCTATATTTCAGTCCTATAGCTGTATTCCCGTGGTCTTTAGAGCAGCCCAAATGATATTTTTTTCTACAAACTAAACAATTAATAATTAAGTGACTACTTATCAAATGTTAATTTTTTTATTCCATTGTATACCCTGTAAATTTTGCTACAAACCATCGTAATTTCAAATTTCTAAATCTTAAAATTTTTGCGGAACATATGGTTAAATTGAACACCAGAAACAGCAGTCTTGGGCGGCCCTCACGATCACATAAAAAGATTGACATACTACGAAAGATGAAGCTATATTGTTTCTGATAAATAAATCTTAATTACGAAACTGCTGCGGTGGCAGGGGGATAGTGCGCTCGCTTTCCAATGAGGTGACCCATGTTCGAATCCAACCTTCGCTGGTCGATACGAATTCTGCTCCTGGCTCGTAACAACCACAGTGCTGACATTAAATGTCCTCAGTGGTAGATGGATTAGAACCCATTGCCGTCGGGTTAACCGTGGGCAGTTTTGGGATTTTCCTCTCCATGTAAGACAAATATGGGTTAGTTCAATCAGAAAGTCTTCCAGGACGAAATATTTCTCCCAATACTTAATCCAGAAGTTTCCTTGTCTTCTGGATTGAGTTCAAAATTACAAGGTTACGGAGTTGAACATGGATAGTAGTAAAACTCAAAATGGGGTCAGTTGTTCAACGATGATTAGGTAAGTATAGATGGTTGTATATTTTCCAATAACAATTGAATGATAAAAAGAATATATTTTTATATAGAATTACGTTAATATTTCTCATCCATTTGTTCAGTAGAAAATCAAAATAAAATATATCCAAAAATGAAGAAATATGTGTCTCTGAAAACCATTCTCAACGTTTATAATTTATTTTTTATCTCTCAAAAAGCGTAATTCAACTTCTTTTAATATTATTTTAAGCTTATTATTTATTTAATATTATTTTTAATTTTTATATATGGTAAAAACAAGTTTTGTACAAAACTAGATGCCGCTCTGCTCTGAGCCTTTAAATTGAACTGCTGGACATGAATTTCAATTTTAAGATTATTTTTGACAAAATTTCTTTCGACAGTTAAAAATCCTCTTAATTTTCAGTTATACCAATGCTCTAAAGGTATCGGGGGAAAAACAGAGTATGGTGTTTTAATAGTAAAAAAATCAACATATAAGTTTTAAATACAATCAATATAAATTTATTACAATGTTAAATAACAATTCTCTATTTTTTAAATTCTTTATTAATTTTTAAGAAATACTATTTAAAAAAGATAAAATCAAAATGTACTTGATAAAACAAATAAAACGTATTATGATGAAAGCATAACACAAAAATTTAACAATAACTTTAATTATCAAATGACTGAAAACAATATCAAATAAAGTATTGTTATTTGTCAAAAATATTCAAATATATATAATTTAACTCACCAGATGGCAGGCATAACAAAACTGTGATAATAGCTGTGAGCATTTTGCTTTTAGTCTATTCCCCTCAATAAGATTCGCTGCTTATTTTGAACTCCGTGCTTAATATTTTGCTCTAAAATACCTATAACAAACATGAAAGAGATATGTTATTAATATGTTCCGTGCGACCATGAATCAAAAATATTTCTAACAAAAATAAATATACAATATTCCTTTTACATCGAATTTTCCTCCTCCTCTTGTTCTATCGCAGCGATGAATGAAAGCGAAAAACTCACGTGACATTCAACATCAACTTTGTACTTTCAATTGTTCATTTGTTTAAAATGATTATGTTACTCCTAAATATTTATCTCTGAAAATATCTAGACATCACTCTCTAAGCTTTATGGTTAGCAATCGGAGTTGGGTTTTTAAATAAACTCCGTCTGCATGCCTGTTAATAACTAGTGATTAAAAAAACACACACATACTTTTAAAAACGCGAAAAAAATCCTGGAATCGCGCGGATTAAATTCTCAATTTTAGGAAATAACAATTTTGAAGGTAAATAAAACTGGCATTTTTCAATATAAATTGAGAGATTAATATTTCTAAGATAACAGTTGCAATATAAAAGACAAGGTAACTTATGTATTTCAATTTAACTGCAATAGTTTTAATGTATTTTCGTATTAAATACTTCACTAATTTTGAAATATCTTATTAAAAGTAGATTTTAAATTTTATATTTTTAATTTCATAAATTTATTTTAAAAAAATATTGAACAAAATTACTTTGAAATTGAACATTTTTTCAAAAGAATAGGTAGAACGATTATTTTTTTTAAAAAAAATTCATAATTTTTATTATCATTAAATAAATAATTTGAATTTACTAATGGACTTGAAGAACAATTTAAACTCTTGGTAATAAAAAGACTGTAATTTTCAAAATTTTATTCCCATAAGAACTCTGTACATTCACAAAATAAATTGATGTTTTTTCTGCACACATTTCAACTCTATTAACCTTTCTCACGCGGGTCTCTTTCTATAATTAAAGAAAAGGGAGAAAGGAAAAGAAAAGGGACAAAAATGACGCAACCACTAGGAGTTTACAAGGCAAAACGTACTGTGAGCATAATTACAATATAACACATAGAGAACATTAAATAAAGTGGTAACTAAACATTAATGTGTAAGAAATTTAACATTCAATGCGGTTAATAATTTAATGGCCGATTGGTAGGGCGTTGTACTGGTGTTCGTGAGAAAGGGAGTGTGTATCCTGCCGGCCGAAGAAACCCCATGTATTAAATGATGACTGCTGCACGTTAAATCTTCCGAGGTTACAAAGTCTTTCAAGTTTCCTTAACAAATAAATACCTCTAAGGGACCCGTGGTGGCTTAGGGGATAGAGGAACGAGGAACGCAAAACGATGACTCATGAAGTAGGCCCAGATTTGCTGATCACTTCTGGCGGTCTTCTTTTTTTTTTTTTTTTTTTTTTTTTTTTTTTNAAATTTTTTTTTTTTTTTTTTTTTGCTTCTTTCGTTTCTAAAATTTTTTTTCGTTACTATTTTACTAATTTTTTTCGTGTTACAATTTTTTTTTATTTGTATTCCTTTTTTATTAGTCTGGATTAAATGTTCCTTAATTGTGATAAAATTGCTTAATATATTTATTTGTTTTCAGAAATGATTAAAAATAAATGCTGTGTGAGAGAAATTTTTTTTTTTTTATTTAAACATTAAATACCAGTTTAAATATTTATTTTTATCAAAGAATAAAGAATTCTTCCATTAACGTTCAATCATTTTAAAAATTGGGAAATTTTATTTAGCTTTTTTTACTAAATGTATGGATTAAAAACAAAGAAATATATTTTTAAAAGGTTTCCACACATTTTTTATTATTATTATAATTTTAAACTACTTATAGAACTCAGAAAAGGGTTTAATTTTTATTTTACTTACATTTTTAGTAAATGATTTGGATAGTAGTTAATAGTGGTTAATTTGGATTTTAATGATTAAGTTTTTCAGGTTATTAAAATTAGAGCATACGAAATAAAATAGAAATTGTATCAAAACAATAATATAAAATCAGCTTATAAATTTTTAGAAAATTAAATGCATTCTTCAAACAAGGTTTAGAAAGAAAAAAACATAACATCAAAAGCATGATTATAATTCGGACTTTTTTTTCTCTGTGGAAGTGTGTTAGAAGTGATTAACTAAAATAAAGAAAGCTACCTTACATAACATATATTTTATTAAATAGAAAATTCAAAAAATGATAAATAAAATGTACATCTACTTTACGCATGTATTTTTAATTTTCTTTCAACAAGTTATGTAAATATATATGTATATATAAATATTATATATGTATGAAAAATTATTTGATTTTTGGGAAAATTTTATAATCAAATAAAAATAATTTGCTTTTAGCAGTTACAATATATTACTTTCAAACGAAAATGTTTAAAGTTTGAGCAAAAATTTGATAAATACAAAAATTATTAATATTTTTATAAAATAAAACTCAATTAAAAAGTAATTAATAATCCGTTTGTTAATTCTTTATACTACTTTCTTAATTATTAGTAATTTACTTATTTCAATTTAAGAGCAGTCTACAATTACTGCCAATTCGAGTATTAGTAGGATAATAATAAAGTTAAGAAAATGACTCCAACTCTTTTTGTATTTCAATTACGTTCTTTTGTTCCTTGATTCTCAGCATTTTCACTGTTTATTTTTAATTTCAGCTTTTGAATAAAATTTCATTTCTTAAATAATCAAATTTAAAGCAGACTGTTAATGTTTTTCCTTTAAAAATATTTTCGGCACCAAACTTTTATTATTTTATTTAAAATAATAAATTACTGCTCTTAACTATTATATATATACATAAATCATATTTACATCTATCTATCCATCCATGTATATTTATGTATAATTATTTTATCGTTATAAAATCCACGCAAAATTTATTATGATATTTTGCGATATGACTGATAAAAACAACTTAATTATTGAAATAAATTTATCCACAATTAAAAATAATTTACTCTAAATAAAAATAATACAGAATCATAACTAAATTCTAAAATGAGGATCATAACTAATTTAAATACCACGAAATTGCGCAAGGGATTTTTAAAAATAAAAGCAGATATTACTCTCTTTGGAATTCCTTGTAACTTCAAATTCTCTTGGTATACTGACAAAACAAACTAGCAAGTGTAATATTTTAAGCACTTAAGATTTTATTCAAAAACATTAAATCTAATGAAGCACACAGTGTTTCGAAGGCACTGCGTTTAATCTATATACATTTAGCCTGCTTGTCATACATATATAAAATCACCATTAGAACTACTTACTGGATATCGAAAGTTTATTTTACGTAATAAAAAAAATCGCCAAAGTCTCATGAATCAGCATCCGGGACAATCACTGCACCACTCAAGTTTTAAAAAAATATAATTATTGGGAGTAAAATTCTTGAAGAGAAAGCCTTTAGAAATTCGTTTGCATAAGGTTTGATTGTTTTAGCGCGAATATGTATATAGAAAGTAAACTTTTGGATAGAATGCTTCTCATAGACGAATTAGTACCATTTTCCCATTAATTTTGCCTTTCAATACATAACTAATATTTTTCATTTCAATTACCTTTGATTTTAAGTTATTTTGTTCCATAGAAACACAATTTGAGTAATTACTATTAACAGAATAAATACTTTATTTCACATAATTTATTTAATACTAATTATGTGACATAGTCTGCCCTTACTATCAGGTTAAAGCGGATCGTTCAATTTATCTGACACAGTGAAGGAAAAATAACTAGATATTAAAGTACGTGTAATGAACTCTCTCTCTCTCTTTTTCTGTGGTAGTCCAGTGGTAAAAGAATCGGACTCCGGTGGAGTTCGATTCTCGATTCTGCTGAAGCCCACCGAGTACATGCCATGTACTTGCTCGTAAAATCTGTGGAATGGAGAGTTCTGTGGTCGGTCGCTGAGCAATAACATGGATTCAGCGATCTGGAAAAAATTTTCTTCTCCTTCAGATCTACGTCCAAATTGAGGAAGATAAAATTGTGATGACATATCGTTGGATCATCCTCAGGGATATTTCCCAGACCGTCTCCAATGGCTCATTATGCTGCACTAGTGCGGCACAAATAAAGTACTTACCCCCCCTCTCTCTTTTGTTTTAAATCAAATACAGCCATAAGCTAGAAAACATAACCGGTATTTTCTGTAAAATACTTGAAAAAATAGAATCGTCTATACTTTAATTTAGAACAATGACTAACGGTTAACAAATGAGAGCATTTCATTTTTTAAACAACTCTCCCAAACGATCTAATTGAAAACTTCGGATAAAATTTAGGATCGAGGGCTAAGATTGCTTCTCCACCCGCTCTGTAAATTTCCCAAAGACAGCACAAACTTTTCTGGAATATAATAGAGAGGCACACACACTCTTCATTTTATTAATAAATATAGATATTCTTTCCTGTAATACTAGTTGAAATGCCATTCCCACTAGATTAAGTTGACTAAATGAAATTCAAACTGAAAATCATTTTTAATAAAAATGTATATTAAAATTGATTGTATATATAAAGTTGTATTATTAATTGTATATTTAAAATATGATTTCTAAGGAACTATTGAACCGATTTTGTTCAAATTTTCCCTTTTGCAATTTAAAATGATTTTTTTTTAAAAAATTATGTAAAAACTTGTATAACTAGCCATTTAAAAAAAATTTTATAATTAATAAATAAATTCATAAAAAATAATGAATACTTATCAACAAAAATTTTTACGAAGATTATTTATTCATCGAGATACGAAATACACAAAAAGTGAAATTAACGTTAAAGGGTCCAAACGTTGAACTGCTCTCCTGACCAAACTTTTAAAATCATATTTTTTTTTATTTCGGCTTCCTCCTATAATTGGGAGTCAGAAATTTACTAGCGATCACTCTTCTGCTTAAATTATTTGGACCACATTTTGCACTTTTTATTTACCATTTGTTTTAACCATTTTTTTTAAAAGGCCCATTTGTTTTAAAAAAGGAATGCTTATTTAAATAAAGTACGTTGTTGTGTCTCATTTCTTAACTTAAAATATCGTCATCACTACTTATTTAGCATATTTAAGCCCTCAAAACATTCAGATTGAGTGCCAGTACGTGAAAATCGGATCATTAGATCAAAAGTTAATCAGACCTCAGTTTTTTCCTTGTTTTTTGTACCATACCTACGTAAGTATCTACATTATTATCTCATGTTAATTGCATGCATACAAATTTACATAATTTGTAAGTACATTCACGCTTACGTACACTGCATGTACATGTTCTACGTATATTTTATGTTACACATGTAAACATGTATTGGATATACAGTGCTTCGGAAAGAAAAATAAAGCGCACCATCCTGAATATATTTTTTTATCTAATGATCATTACCAATTACTTACTAATGATCATCCGATTACTTACTAATGATCATCATAATGACTTCGAGATTACCAATATTTTCCAAAATTCAGAATCTAATTTTTAAGACTCCGGAGTTAAATTTCACGTATTTTAAAAACTGTAGGGTCCTAGCATAATGGGACATTCTCACTGTATGGGACTCGCATATGTGATTGCCCATCAATACAATCCACGCGTGCAAGTGCGATTTTACATACAGTAAGAATGTCCTCTAAATTATTTAAGCACTTATTTCACAAAAGAGCTTGTGACTGAAACTTTCACTTTTCATTACATGTGGTGTTTTATTTGTTTACAAAAAATCTTATCCACGGAATGAATCTAATTTCGATTCTATGTTGTCATAAATTACTGTAGTTTTATATCGAACTGTGGTTAACATTATTCTTAGAAGAATTTCGTTTCCTTTTAACCATGGGAAGAAACAAAGTCAAAGGTGCTGTAAAAATCATTTTGATTTTGCGATTTGAATATTATCAACTGCTTAAATAATACATGTATTTAATTAATAACTATACTGAAACCACTGTTTTGTTCATGATGATTATTAATAAAATATAAATTATGTGTGTGTATTTGAAAAAATTAAGCTTTGCCACTTGTACGAGCAAAATTTTTGCTATTACTGAATTTAGTCTTTTCTCTTGAATTAGTTAAATTTACATCTGGAATATTTCCGTTTCGTCCCCGTCAAATAACCATCACCAGCACTTCAGAAAATTTGTTATCATACAAATATATAGTAAACGATACGAAAATTCTGATCAGATAAATAGAATCATCAGATTTTTTAAAGTTTAAGCCTTTTAATTTTAGTAGTTATACATCCATATCAGTAACTGTTTGCGCCTTCTTCCTTTGCTTAAGGGTTTGTTAATTTGCAAACATTTTAATGAAATTATGTTGTGGTGTGCCTGTGGGTGGCTAGGACTTATACCTTTTGGGTTGGTCACCTTCTGTGATATTTTATATTTGTTTCTCGTCGGCAACATCAATGCCCAGAAGTTTTCAAGGCTTTAGGATTATTTTGGCTTTGCTACCAGTAAGATTATCTTCCCGTTCTAGCATATATTACCACACTTTTAGAAATATTTAGGGAAGTTAAAAACCTTTCAACCTATAGATTAAAAATAATTTAATTCAATGCAAATCTTATTTTTTAAAACTATCGTCTAATTTAAATGTTAATGATTAAAAATTATTAAAACGAAAGATAAGTGCACGTTTCAATCATTTATGAAGTTTTAAATGGCAAAACCTAAAATTACATCAATAGGGAAAGATTCGGTACCTGGGGACAACTGGATAGTAGTGGCACTCGATAAGCTGTAAAAAATCACAGTAAACAGACTAACTAAAATAATTCTTAGCCACATCAGATATATATATATGTAAAAAAAAAAAATTCTAATGAAAGCCCCTTTTTTTATGCTATCAAATATCAAGTGGGAAATATTCTCACTTGAATCTGCAGAAAAAGACTAATTTCTTCAGAGAAAGTTCAATTTTTGTTTTTAATTTCATAGCTTCAAGTTTTGTGTTTCTGCATTGATTATGTACGCGTTAGTTATTAAGTTTTTCATCGTTGAAATTAAAAACTTCTAGCATTAGAATAAAAATTAAATTGCATTGTGTGTTACATATTTTATATGCCTTTTAATTTTTTTAAAGTGTTTACTATATGCTTTTTTGGATTTTAATATCATTGTTTGTATATAAACTAAATTGTATTTAAACTTAATGTATAATTTTTTTCTTTCTATTTTCTCTTTTATTGCAGAAGTGAATTTTTCAAAGGATGAGTTAATGGTTATGACGGTGGCTGAAATTGTTCAAGAGCTTATCAAGGCACACAAAAATAATTCTAATATCAATTTGAATAGGTAAAGCTGTGGCATAACTACCACCTCGATTATTCAACATCAATTGACAAGTATATATAAGACATGCTAATTCAATTCAATCTTGGGTACCTTTTGATAGATGGAGGTTGGCATTGTCGAGAAATAATCTCCTCACACAGTATAGTCATCTTTTGTTAAATAATCTTTTCACCCTTTATTAAAGTTATAATCAAATTTTTTAGTGGGATGGACGTTAAAGGAAATTTTAATTTTAAGCAAGGAGATTCTTTAAAGCTGATGGCTTTGCCTTTAATTTGAATTAAAAAGCTAGAACCATATAAGTTTTTAAAAATGTGAAATACAAAGCCAGAAAGTTATTGCCTCACATACATATAAGCTGTGCTGTTAATATGTCCAATTGCATAAACAAGGTTCAGAGGAAATTTAGACAGATATGGAAATTTAGACAGATTTTAAGCCTAATTTTAAAGAAAGAATAAACTGCTACAAAGTCTTTTTTTTTTTTTTATTGTTCAAAAGAAATGTGGCACAGCACAATATTTCCTGAAAAAAAAAAGTTTTATGTTGATTTTTTTTTATTTATTAGTTTTAAGTCTGCAAGTTTACGATTAGGACCTTGAGTTTAGTTTTGTAACTATTGCTTTTCTATTCATTTAACACATTTGCTATTTTGTTATTGACTGCTATTTTATTATTCACTGCTATTTTATTATTCACTGCTATTTATTATTCACTGCTATTTTATTATTCACTGCACTTTCTAAAAATATTTTTTAATGGTTATTTTTACTTGGAGAAAATTTCAAACCAAAGGAACTATTTTCTAGTAACATACTGGACTCAGCACCCCTGATAAGTGTTGAATCAAAATTTTAACTTTGTAAAACTAAAGGAGAACTCTAATTAATTGTTGTGAAGCTATATTTTTTGTGGTTGGAGTTTCTTGCACTTATATTATTGTTATTTATTATTTTTGTCGTAAACTAATGTTATTTAGGGATAAATATTGTTATACCTAATGCATAATAGTATAATTAAGAGTTATAAAAGAGAGTGTGATAACAGAAATATTTCAGTGAGGCTATATTTTCTTTCGTACTTATTCACATTATAATTTTTATTTTGTTATTCCTTAAAATATTAAAAATGGTTGTTTATTGCAGGGTGAAATGTGAAATTTCATCTAAGTACGGATTAGAGTCTCAGCCACGCCTTGTTGATATCATTGCTGCCGTGCCTTCTGATTATAAAAAAGTATAATACTTCTATGATTTTTGTTTGTTTTTTCTATCCTTAATTTTTTCTTGTTTACTCAGTAATTTTCCCTATTGTATATTTTTTATTTCAATAAAATAGTTAGACCTCAAATGAAGTATTTTAGGAATTACTTGAGAAATTTTTTTTTACTGCTGCTCCTTCCTTTAATTTTTGATGAGAGTTGAAATGAAATGCTAAATACTTGATATATACAAAAAGCTTTGTTCATGCTTAATATAGTTTTTTTTGTTCATATTTATTTAAATATTTAATTAGTCATTTATTTACTGTTTTTCATAAATCTGTAATCAAGTACTTCAATATCTATTCTTTATGTGGATGGATTGGGAGTAACTGACTCAAAGTTGTCAAAATTTACCAAAATCAAACAATTTTCACCATTTATTTTTCTTTGAATATATTTTAATCTCATTTAATATTTGTTACTGACTGTAACTGTCATTACCAAATTACACTGTATATTCAGTTTGTTTTTCAAAATAATAGTTATATATATTTCTTGTGGTCTTTTTAAGGCATTGCTTTGTCTTGCTTGTTTGTTTGGATGTTCTGCTTGAAATTTTCATAATGATTACTATTGTTTCTCAAATCAGAACAGTCCAAAAAATTTTCTCATAACTATTAATTACCACCATCTTTATTTATACTGATTTTATTTACTTTAATAAATCTTGCTAAATTTTTTTTTCATTGAACTTTAAAGGCTGAATATACACCTACCCTCAAAAAAAGGTCATTTAAAATTATTGTTGGAAGTGCTCAAACCTCAAGATAAATAATATCACACAGTATCTACAAATCACATGCTCAGTGCTATTTTAGCACATAATTATGTATATTTTTACATAACATATTTAACGTTGCTCCTTCATACTTAATGCATAGTAGTCTAGTATTATTTTTATGCCTCTCACCTTATATCTGTACTGTATAATATTTTTAAGTTCTATTTAATTTATTGTTTCAAAATTTTGTGCAGGTTCTCCTTCCTAAATTGAAAGCTAAACCTGTTAGGACTGCTAGTGGCGTAAGTAGTTAGTTTAACGTTAAAATCAAGAATTTAAATTTTTTTTCCCTTCAAAATTCATATTTAATGAAAACTATTTATTATATTCTTTTTAGATAGCAGTTGTTGCGGTTATGTGCAAGCCACATCGTTGTCCCCATATAAATATGACTGGTAATGTGTGTGTGTATGTATGGGTAATATTTTTTGTTTAAAATATGCTGAAGTTATTGAATATGATTTTGAGTATGATAATACACTTTTTTTTATAACATACACTTTTTTCTTGTTCAAATTTCAAGAATTTTTGCAATTATATAAATGTGCATGGCACATAACATTTTTGGATTTCTATTTTAATCCTTTTTTTTACTAGACTAAAAATTAAAACATTTTTAAAAAAATGGTAATTTTAAAATAATTTTTGTTGAAAGTAGACGGCGAGGAAATGATTGAAACTAGTTGCAAGAGTTAATCAATTGCTTGCAGACAGTTTTCTAATTGAGATTTTGTATTCACAGAAAAAAATTTTTAAATTTTATCTAATTTTGGTTAGATATTAGATTGATACGTTAAAAAAAATTTTATTTTTACAAAAATAAAGTTTATTAAATAAAAATTAAAACTATTTTTGAAATAATGTTACAACTGTCAAAAAAAAGCTGTTCTGTTATTCGGCACTTTTATTACAAACATGGATATTTGAATGCTTATTAATTGATCTTTAATTACATAAATATATTCAGGGTTTCTGCACACCTTGAAAGTCATGAATTTCGGTGTTGAACAAAATTTGTCATGAAATGTCATGATTTTAACTATTTTTTAAAAAAAAGTCATGGATTTAGGTCGTCTAAAAATCTAATTTTTAAAATGGAATTTACCCATTCCCCCCAATTTCAATCTGAATTTGTAACAAAATGCCCACTCAGAGTCATATTTGATTAAAATATAAAATGTTTTTATCGTGTTCTTTAAAAATTATGGTGTTCTTTCAAAAAATGAAAGAAAAAACCTAATTTCTAGAGCGAATTATCTTTTAAACTTCTGTGATTTCAGAATTTTTGTTATTATTTTTATTTTATCAATTTAAAATTCTAACTGAAGCAAGTCAGTTATTGGCGAATTTTTTTTATTCCAAAATGAGAACAAAAAAATCAGGAGTATTTCTTTCCTTTCCGATGTTCAAGAAAAGTATCTTTAGAATGAAATTCTGCTGAATAAAAGAAGAAAAAGTTATTTGCTTTTGTATTTTTTTCAGCCATTTTAATGCTTCAGCTATTTCTTTACTCTGTTTAAATTTAAAATCTATAAATATGAAGATGCAGAGTGTAACAGTTTTGGTTATACCTATCATTTCAATTAATGTTATTATAATGCTTTTTTAAATTTGTTGTTGTGTTATTGTCAGAGAAAATAGTAACTTCATTAAGTCAGGAAAAATTCTTGGAATTAGTNTAAAAATTAAAACTATTTTTGAAATAATGTTACAACTGTCAAGAAAAAGCTGTTCTGTTATTCCGCAATTTTGTTACAAACATGGATATTTGAATGCTTATTAATTGATCTTTAATTACATAAATGTATTCAGGTTCAGGGTTTCTGCACACCTTGAAAGTCATGAATTTCGGTGTTGAACAAAATTTGTCATGAAATGTCATGATTTTAACTATTTTTTTAAAAAAAAGTCATGGATTTAGGTCGTTTAAAAATCTAATTTTTAAAATGGAATTTACTCATTCCCCCCAATTTCAATCTGAATTTGTAACAAAATGCCCACTCAGAGTCATATTTGATTAAAATATAAAATGTTTTTATTGTGTTCTTTAAAAATTATGGTGTTCTTTCAAAAAATGAAAGAAAAAACCTAATTTCTAGAGCGAATTATCTTTTAAACTTCTGTGATTTCCGAATTTTTGTTATTATTTTTATTTTATCAATTTAAGCAAGTCAGTCATTGGCGAATTTTTTTTATTCCGAAATGAGAACAGAAAAATTAGGAGTATTTCTTTCCTTTCCGATGTTCAAGAAAAGTATCTTTAGAATGAAATTCTGCTGAATAAAAGAAGAAAAAATTATTTGCTTTTGTATTTTTTCAGCTATTTTATTGCTTCACCTCTTTTTTTACTCTGTTTTTCAAATTTAAAATCTATAAATATGAAGATGCAGAGTATAACAGTTTTGGTCATACGTATCATTTCAATTAATGTTATTATAATGCTTTTTTAAATTTATTGTTGTGTTATTGTCAGAGAAAATAGTAACTTCCTTAAGTGATGAAAAATTCTTTGAATTAGTCATGGAAAGTCATGAATTTGAAAATCTAAAATGTAGCAGATACCCTGTAATGTGAATATAAATGAAAAAAGCCCTTATGTAAATGAAAAAAGCCTGATAAATGCATGTAATAAAAGTAAATAAATTATAATAATAAAAGTAAATAAATAAATTCTTGTTTGACGAAATAAGAATTTTATTTCTTTACTCATTACATTTGTGTTTTTTTTTTTTTTAATTGAGTACAGATTGCTTCTCATTTGTTTTTCTAGATACTGTCCTGGTGGTCCTGACTCTGATTTTGAATATTCTACTCAATCATACACAGGATATGAAGTAAGGCAAATTGGGACTGTTAATTTTTTTAAAATTAAAAACGTTATGATTTTAAATAAGACTGTAATGCTTTATAGAGTTTTCTTTATAACTACTTCTCTTATTTGAATTAAGAGAAGTTATATCGGAAGATCAGTACAGTAGCTATATATATATATATATATTATATACTGTTTTAATGTGGTTGTGAGGAAAAGTATATCATATGGATTAAAAATTGCCAAGCAATTGCTTTTCTTTCTTTTTTTTCTAAGCTTTCTCACAAAATAACCTGCAGAATTGACACTCATTAGTATATAATTTACAACTAAAAAAATACTAATAATTGCTACTATTTGCTATGATTCCTAGAGAATCAACTTTATATTATTTAATCCATTCGAACAATTTAGTTCAACTCCAAACAGCTACAAAAATGACGCTCATTTATTACAACATGCTAACCTGCATTATTCAAGATTTGTTTTCATAACCATGTAATTTTTTTCAATATATTAGTACATATTATTCAAATTTTTTTTTTAATCCTATCTTTTGTACATTATTTAGCTTTATAGAAATTAATTGCGAAATCCTAGCATATGATTTTGGTATCATAGTTTCCAAAATACTTTTTCTATAGTATCATTCCCAATGGTACTGAAACTGTCGATATTAATTTCATTGGTGCGCATGTGACACAAGGAAACAAAGAAGAGTAATTATTAAAAACATGAATAAAATTTTTATTCATTAAATACAGAGCTCTGTGAGCAACAGTGTGTTAACAGTTATTATCCTTCAAGTAATTGGGGAGGGGAGAGAATTCTATTGAACACTAAAAAAACAATATAAGCGTTTCATGATAGAATTTGCTGAAAGTGACTTGACGATAATTTTCTTTTCATTGCTATGAATACTAAAATATAATTTAAAAAATAAAATGTTAAACAAAATTTATTTTTGATAATAAAAAAAAATTGCAACCGATAGCTTATGCAAAAATATCAAATTTGAATTATTTGTGGCAATTAAAAGCATCGTCAAACCCACACAAAAAAAACTAATGCAACCCTAGAACAGAACGTCTTTTGCAGTGTGACAGTATGAACGTAAAGAAAAGTTAACAATGTTTTGTTTTTATCCAAGAATGTGACAGTTTCTTTTTTTCCTTCGATCTAATGTGTATAATCAAATTAATTATTCCACATATTTTCCACCTATGTTGATTTTTCTGTTGAACCGCAGAATTTTCTTCAGTTCTAATTGCAACAATCTGTAATGCTAATCTTATAAAAAAGAATTCATTTTACACATATACCACTTCAAAAAATTGGAGTAGAATATTGGAATGTCAATAATAATTTTCCATATTTCTCATATTATTGATGTGTAAAACTTTATTGCAGATATGGATGAATTTTAAAGGAATGAACTCAGGGTAGCTTACAAAAAAAAAAAAAAAAGCATTTATTTTTATGTGCATCATAAGTTAACGTAATTTATGAATGTTATAAAAATAAGTATGTTTTAATAAATTTGATGTTATCTATGTTTTCTCATCTTGGTACATTTCTTTTAATTCATGTTTCTTATAGAATCAAATTAAAATTGTTTGTGTGGAAAATAATTTACTTTTTTTAACTTTTGAATTGTTTTTATCTTCATATTTGTACTTGAAGCTTAGTTGTTAATGAAGCACATATTTCCAAACATACTTTAGTTAATATGTATTATGTTGGCTTTCCTCAACTTAAATATCTTTCAACCTGAACTCATCTTACAAGACACTATATTTTAACTTAATTGTCAAAATTAAATAATAATCTTATTTCCTAAATAACTCCCTAAATAATACCAACTCTGAGTAAAACAACTTAAGTTTACATTCTGACTGATTCAATGTTAAATTAAATGAAACATGCAATAGAATAAGGCCATTGTTATTTTCATAAATTTGAGTTGATTTGAACTGTTTTTAGCCTACATCAATGAGAGCTATTAGAGCGAGATACAATCCTTTTCTGCAAACAAGAAATCGATTAGATCAAGTAATTATACAACTTACTTTTTACTATTTCTTATCCATTAGTTTTTTTTTTATCTTATAAATAATCAATATAATTTTGTTATTTTTTCTTATTGATTTTAATTTCTCTGTTTCTAAAATTGTGCAAAAAACAAAATGTGTTGGAATTTTGCATGAAATATTCTTTAGCTATTATCAAGTTTTCATTATTTAGTTAATTATTATCAATTTATCACTGTGATATAATTATGTATGCAAGATGCCTATTATTTTGTCAATGGATAGAACCACTGCAGTATTTTTGACTTTTAATATTTAATGCATTTTGTCTGTAGAGTTGATGTCAAAAAAATGCTAAAAGGTATCTGAATTAGAATTAAAAAATTGATGAAATCTGAAATTAAGTTGTTTAAGTAAAAATGAAATTAAGTTGTGTAATTTTGGTCTTATGAAAATTATATAGAAAAAATATTTGTATCTATGTTAACAAAAATAATACTCAAATGAAATGTATGACACCTGTTTAAAGCTCTAACTTATTACAGCTGTAACTTATTATAAATCTAATTTAAACCAGTTTAAATTATCATAATTTAACCCATCTTGAGCCTGTGTTTGATTGAACCGTTAAAGGGAAACACAGCAAGTTATCAAAATTGAAAAGTTAACTGAAAAAATAGGCAAATGCATTTGATACAAGTTGACACAATTAGTTAAGTTTGTCCTTTTGTATTCAAAATAAATAGATGCTGCATAACTTGAAAAAATTTACAACTAAAATGTTAAAAATATTAAAATTTTTGATACTATAAAATTTGTCTCTCTTTGACTTATTGATATCAAGATTTAAATTTAGAATAAATTAAATTTATATATTATTATCTTTATTTCTCCTTTTAACAAATTTTTTATTTTGATTCATTCAAAATGCAAAAAACGTCTAAATCTATATTTGTAACTTTCTGTTTCCAGTTGAAACAGCTCGGCCACGATGTTGACAAAGTAGAGTTTATTGTAATGGGTGGCACGTTCATGGCACTTCCCGATGATTATCGGGACTATTTCATCAGAAACCTGCACGATGCTCTGTCTGGTCACACGAGTACATCAGTGGAGGAAGCGGTCAAATACAGTGAGAGATCTTCTACAAAATGTATTGGGATTACAATAGAAACAAGACCTGACTATTGTTTGAAAAGACACTTAAGGTAAACTGAATTTCTTTTATTATTAAATCAGTATTTTCAAAATTTAGTTTTAATGATCAATGCAACATAACATCATATTAATCTATATTGTATTAGCAGCAAGTTTTGTTTTCTGAATAAAAGTTTATTTAAACTTTTATGGTCGATAAAAATTTTGATACCTAGTTTTTTTATATCTTAAAATTCGGCATAATTGTTTGTAAAAATTTATTTATATTAAATATTTTCATTTATTTTTTGTTTTCTGCATCTGAGTAAAAAAAAATAGATATCGATCTGTAAATCATTCATATGACTTTCAAATACACCCTACATTCTTACTATTACAACGAATGTTAATGTTGGTTTCTGCAATATATTTTGTAGTTTTTGTGGCCTGCTATCCAAAAGTTATTATATGCATCCCCAATAGCTTGCACAATTTTTGAAAGCACTTACTGTGATATTTTAAATTCTCTTGAAAACAATTTTTGTTTTTTAAAACAGTATATTGCAGTATGTTTGATAGCAGTCAAACAGCATAATTACCTAAATTTTGTCAAAAATTAATATCTACAATTAAGATTTATGTTTCATTCATAAAGTGGCGGTCATTTTTCAAATTAGTTATTTTTCAGATACTCTTGTGTACCTTTTACAAAAAAATGAAGTTCATTTAGACTGTTGATCATTCTTTTAAAAGCTGATTGTTATTTTTTTTTCTGAAATTCATTTTGTATTTTAGTGATATGTTGAAGTATGGTTGTACCAGGCTAGAAGTTGGTGTACAAAGTGTTTATGAAGATGTAGCCCGTGATACAAACAGGTTCAATCCTTTTTATTTTTTTATATTCTGATATATTATGTAACCATTTTCTATCTATAGCCATTTGCTAGAATTGATAGGTGCAGATTTTATAATCATTCATCGACACCTTCACAAAATTTTTTTTTTAAAGAAGCTTCCTCTTCACATAATTTAGCTCTTAACAAGACTGACAAATATTTGAAGGGGAAAAAAAAATTTTTTTAAAAAGTCACTCTGCAAATTTTTTTTTTTTCATTTAGATGTAATTTATTAAAATCAATGTTCTTATAAGTAACTTTTAACATATTAAAAAATTGGATCATTAACACTTTTCATTTTTAAGAAATTGTGGCTTTTCTTTAAATTGATAAGTTGTGCCATTTTCATTATCAGTTGATATTTTCAGGTTAGCAAAAACTCCCCAATAGGGCAGTAGGTGTTGCAGATTTTTTCAGTGCCCTCTAATTATTTTTTTTTATCGTAAGTTTTATTTTTAAAAAGCAAACAAACAAAAGGGAGATAATTAATGAGTGTCAGTTTTAAATTATATCTATTGTTTTTAAATAAAAATTAAAAGGTTGAATTGAGGGAACACACCAAAAATTAATGGATTTTTGTCACTTGATTACAGACCTAACTATATAGCTTATTTATTTCATTTTTTTGCTATCATTGTATAAAATTTAATTAAATTTAAACAACATAATATTTTTGTTTATTTTTTTAATATTTTTAACATAACTAAATGTATCCTTGCAGATTTTACTACACGTATTTAGATCAAGCTGAATTATAATAATAATCTCTGTCTGACTCCATTCAAGTTACAGGCAGATTTAGATTTATGAAGATAGTGCTGCAGATGTACTTTGTTTATTCTGCTACAGAAGACACAACCAAACCTGAAAGCAACAACTGTCATGAATTTACATCAACGTTTTTATAAAGATATTGTTATTTGTTAAGAAGTTTTATTTTATATGAATTCAGATTCTTCTAAAAACTGATTTAAAATAATGAAATAGTAGTACCATCAATATTAACTTGGCTTTTTTTTTCATTTCCTAAATATTTCAAAATATTCTTATTAAACTTACATCTGTTTATCTTTGTAGAGGGCATACAGTTAAAGCTGTTACTGAAACATTTCAACTCTCTAAAGATTGTGGTTTTAAAGTTGTGTCTCACATGATGCCAGATCTGCCAAATGTTGATTTTGAACGAGATATTGACCAGTTTGTTGTAAGTGAAAAATATTTTTTAGTCTATATAAAAATAAATGTATTTCACATATAAGTATAAATTACACTATAATTACACTATGTATTTGTATACATGTTTCTGAATTTTTGAAAATAGTAAAATAACTTATAGAATATTTATTAAATTTTCATCGTTTAATATTAAGTTATAAGCTTTTTTGAGATTGCAATATTTAAAATAATGTTCCTGTGTACCATACAGCATGGGTATAGCACGTATAGTTCGCTGGAAATGTATTTCAGTGTAATAAGGTGTATTTCACAATGCATTCTTATAGGTCAGAAATAAGGTAACACCTGGAATTGCCAGGAANTTTATTTTATATGAATTCAGATTCTTCTAAAAACTGATTTAAAATAATGAAATAGTAGTACCATCAATATTAACTTGGCTTTTTTTTTCATTTCCTAAATATTTCAAAATATTCTTATTAAACTTACATCTGTTTATCTTTGTAGAGGGCATACAGTTAAAGCTGTTACTGAAACATTTCAACTCTCTAAAGATTGTGGTTTTAAAGTTGTGTCTCACATGATGCCAGATCTGCCAAATGTTGATTTTGAACGAGATATTGACCAGTTTGTTGTAAGTGAAAAATATTTTTAGTCTATATAAAAATAAATGTATTTCACATATAAGTATAAATTACACTATGTATTTGTATACGAGTTTCTGTATTTTTGAAAATAGTAAATTAACTTATAGAATATTTATTAAATTTTCATTTTTTAATTTTAAATTATATGCTTTTTTGCGATTGCAATATTTAAAATAATGTTCCTGTGTACCATACAGCATGGGTATAGCACATATAGTAAGCTGGAAATGTGTTTCAGTGTAATAGGGTGTATTTTGCAATGCATTCTTATAGGTTAAAAATAAGGTAAAACCTGGAATTGCCAGGAAATTCAATTAAAAGCTCATTTTTTTAAAGGGTAGAGGAAACTTGCAATACAACAAACTAAACAATTCCTTCAAAAAGCATAAAAAATGATGGATATTAGAAGTAATTGTAAAAATATTCAATATGATTTAAAATAAACAAATGTAATAAATATTTCAATTATTTGTAAACTATATCTCTGGTTGAAAAGCAATGTTAGATTTAGTTGTTATGTTTAGCAATTAACAAATTAATAATATTGTAGCATTTTTTACTGTGGCTACTTTTTAGAACATGTAATCATTTTTTCAAAGGTTGAAAATTTAAAACTACACTAAACTCCTGTTAAATGCCTTTTTGGCGAAAAAAGTGGTAATCAAGGGTCAACTATCGAACAATTTTGTAATCGCTATTCGTTATATTTTTAACATTTGCTTGGTGGCAACCATTTATTTTGCAATATATGGTTGACTGTGTGTAATAAATTCATGAAGTTTTAATAATTTAGAATGATATGTTATTCAGGGATGTGATTCTTCCGCGGGTCCGCTGTTTTCCGCTTTTTTCAGATTTTTCCATATCTTCCGCTCTTTTTTCATAAATTTCCGCATGAAACATTTTTTTATGCAGTTAATGATATTTTGTTGAACATTTTTTTCTTCCGCGGAGTGAAAGTATTGAAGCCCCCAATAAACCTTTCTTCACATGTCAATCTGCTGGCTTGGGTAAAAGTGGTTGACCTTGGTAAAACAATGCCGTCTCCTACTCCACTACTCTCTTATCTTTTCAGGGCTGAAAGACTTTTTAAAATTTCCGACCATGTTCCAAAAACTTTTGGGGAGTCGAACGAACGATATAGTCGGACTTGCGACGAACTCCCTCCCCCCCTGCAGTAGCCTCCTGAGAAAATGATCTTCAGAAGAAAATGGGTAGAATTTCGGCATGTACGCCGTGCCTTGACAACCGCGACTTCCGCTATAGATTGGAAAAAAGAAAAAAAGTCCTAAGCGGTTTCGTTTCGGCGGCTGATATTTGATTTCTTTTGATTGGCTGATTTACGGAATTTTAAATATTAGGAACTGGGCCAGAATCTGCTAAAGTTGCGATTCTTATTTAGATGATTTTTATGTAAATCATCGATTTTCGTATTTAACTGATTTAAAAGTTACTTGTTGAGATTCGTTTTTACACGATTTAAAAATCGTTACTCGCAATTCCCATTCACGCAATTTAAAAATTCAATATCGCGATTTGTATTTAAGCGTTTTTAAAACCCAATATCGCGATTTGTATTTAAACGTTTTTAAAACCCAATATCGCGATTCATATTCCCGCTAGTTTAAAATCCAATGTCGCGATTCGTATTCATATATATTTTTAAATTTCAATATNGGATTAAAGGATTTCACCATTAACACCTCATTACCATTAGTTATAGATTGTGCTGAAAATGATTTTGTGAATTAATATGTAAAACCAGTAGGGTTGTTTTTAAAAAAATATAAATTTTAGTCCATAATACATATACTCTCTTCTCTCTATATAGGCAAAGCATTTAGGTATTATATTTGAAATTAATTATTGCCACAACAAGCATTGTTGCTTCTAGTAAAATAGAAGAGAATAATTTTTAAAATTGGTCTTAGATTAAGGTCCTTGAAAATTTTGTTGAGGTCCTTGAAAAGTCCTGGAAAGTCCTTGAATTTCAATCTCATCATAGAGTGAGAACCCTGAAAGTTAGATATAGTTGTTATGTTAAGCAATTAACAAATTAATAATATTCTTTAACACACATGTAATCTCATTTCTGTTTGTTTTGGTGATAATGATAAGCTAATGTTCCACTTCTGTAGTTGGCAAAATAAAGAAATTTTTCAAGTGGCTGTTTGTAGCATTTTTTACTGTAGCCAATTTTTAAAACATGTAAGCATTTTTTCAAAAGTTTAAAATTTAAAACTACTAATTCGCAGATAATTTGCTAAAGGCTTAAAAAAAGACACCTGTCATCAATTTTTTTAATATAAATGATAGATTTCAATATCTATTATTAGCAGTTTTCTTCTAATTTTCTTCTTATACATTTTTTTTTTTATTTCTGTATGAAAAAACCTGCCAACTTTTTTTTAAAATTTCTTGGTGATGGAAAGGAGACTTAAAATAAAACAGGCAAGAGCAAACTTTTAATTTGGGAGTTTATACACTATTGAAAAAAGACCGCACGAAACAAAGTTCGTATCATAAAATATTGTTAACAGTTCAAGGTTCAATTCTAAAATGAAGAAAAATTTTAGTGAGGGAAGTGTGAAATAAAGAAATTTTAAAAAAATATTTGTTATAATTCAACATTTAATAAAAGTGATTTATAAAATGCGTATGGGATACCTTTTTGACGAAAAAAGTGGTAATCAACGGTCGGTTTTTGGACAATTTTATTATCGCTCTTAGTTAAATTTTTTTTATATTATATGGTTTTGCTATGTGTAATAAATTCATTAAATTTTTATAATTTAGAATAATATGTTATTGTTTTATGACATGAGTAATCCTTTTTCTTTTTCTTCTGTATAATTTAAATTAAAATATTTGTTTATTTAATTATTTTGGTAGCAATTCTTTGGTGACCCCGCATTCAGGGCAGATGGTTTAAAAATCTACCCGACTCTTGTGATAAGAGGAACCGGGCTGTACGAGTTGTGGAAAACCGGGAGATACAAGAGTTACCCTCCCAGCACACTCATAGACCTCATTGCTAAAATCTTATCTCTAGTACCACCTTGGACTAGAGTATATCGTGTACAGAGGTGTGTATTATTTTATTTTATAATTGTGATTATTAATGGAGCTTCAACTGTCATTCCCATTTCTTTGTGTTATTTATTTAATTAATGACATCAAATTCTGAGCTTTGATTGCAAGGCATTTTACCTTACCCTTTGTATAAAAAAAAAAGTCAGAACTTTTGCTTACTATAATTCAGTTTTATGATCTATAATTTAATTCTGAAAATAATTGAATATACAGGGTTACCATATTCGATAATAAATAATTCCATTGATGCCAATTTTTTCGAATTTTTACTAAAGATTTTGTTTTTATATTTAAAGTGAATGTCAAAATACATGCTTATTTCTTTAAATTCTTGCATTCATAAATTTAAAACTATTTTGACCACCACTGCACATTTAAATAAATGATATATATAAGAACCATGTGTTTTAAATTCTAAAAAAAAAGTATGTTAGATATTTTTGTCTACAGTTATAATTCTATCCTCATTTCACAACTACTTGCAAAAATCATTCTTGAAAAATCAAATTAAGTTGGCAGGTCTATAAATTTGAAACATTAAACTGTTTTACTTATAAAAATCTCTGTCATCAAAATTATGCATTAAAGGTTCTTATTGAACTCCTTGATTTTTGTTTTAAAATGTTGGCTTGCCTTTTACAGCAGTGCCAATTATCATAATTTATCAGTAATTATTAGGATTTTATCGTTAAAGATTACAGCTGAGTAAAATTATATTTGGGGCGGGGGGAATTTCTGTAATACTTTGTTTAAAATAAGTTCTTTTCTTCTTAACTATCAAGAGTTATAAAATTTTGTTTGCAACTACCCTATCATTTCTACTTCTAAAACAATTCTAAAAACAATAATCTCCATCTGAAACAATAATCTCAAGCTCAAATCTGAAATGCAGTGAGCAAAAATTTTTAGTGGTTCAAATGCAGGATGATAAAAAGGTTAAAGGGCTTATTTAATCAAAAACTAGAACATTGAATCTAAGTAATCAATTTAATTTTATAATGAATTATAAATTTTCAGTGTTGTATAAATTTTAATTTAGTACCTTTATCAGTGTTACTTTTTTTTAAAAATCTTTATAGTAAATTTAGGCATTTATTAATACCATGCACATGTATAAAATAAAGTAGTTTATGCACCTCGAAATTGTGCTAATTTGAGATGACTGTATTTTATTTCTGTGTTATTGTACTTCTGATTACTGATAGCTTATTTGGAAAGTTTGCACATGTGATGCTATGATAAATAATTATGTTTTCTCTTAAAAAGGGATATTCCGATGCCCCTCGTGAGTTCTGGAGTAGAGCATGGCAATTTGAGAGAGTTGGCTCTTGCAAGGATGAAAGATCTTGGCCTGAAGTGCAGGGATGTCAGAACAAGGGAAGTGGGAATTCAAGAAATTCACAACAAAGTCCGACCTGACAAAGTATGTACTGCATTTATTAGTGAATTTCATTAATGAATGTCATTATTAACAATTCATCAATGATTCATTTTGTAAATATATGACTGAAAATCTTAACATTGTAAAAAATTAGTAATATATTTATATAAGAGAGAGCAAGCAGAGAGAGGCATCCTCTTAAGCATTTTTTGGTGTGAACAATTTGGTGTGAACAGTATCATGGGAAAAACTTTTATTCTTTCTTACCTCCGTTACAACTTTTAAAAAAAAGGAATAGTAAGTCCCGGCAAACCTAGAGAAGTTTCAATTACTGGGGGGGAAAATATCAGAATGCAAACAAAATTATTGGGAGAGAACTTCTCCATTGCATAATCCTAAATTATCATCTCATAACTTATTTTTATTTTGATATTTTAAAATTTTCTTTTGAGCATTTGAAACTTCATGGCTTTCTCTTGATTTGTCTGAACTCTCTTTTTCTATAGTTAAGATTACTTATGTAGGTGAAAGAGAATTTGAAACGAAAAGTCCCTCCTGTGGTATGGCGTCCTCTTAAGAGAATGTTATATTACAAGAGAAATCCTCCATGGCAAATTCTTTTTCACCTATATAAGTACAGGAGGCATAGCTTTTTAAAAAAGTGCTTAAAGGTGCTTATTTTCGTTTTTTTTAAAGCCCTTGAAGGTACTTTTTTCATTGGGTGTTTTTAAAGAATGCTTAATTTTCACTTTTCCAAAATAAGATTTTTTTTTCTTCACCAAATCAATTTTTGCCACAAATTTTGCAAAAAGTGGGTTTTATGTTGTTTTATTCTACGCTTTCACAATTCGTTCAACCACAATCCATTTCTGCATACCATTGGTCAGTAGCGTTTGAAAGGGCCAATCATTTTAAATGTTTGATGAAATACTAAAGGGGCCGAATGTGCATATACGGAGCGTGATTCGGTAGGGAGGATTCTTGCATTCTCAATTTCAGGCTTGGTTTCCATGTCCTCTGAAATCGACTGAAAAATCTCTCGAATTTTTGCTTATCAGGGGGACAAACGAAACAGTGCCAATATTTTTTCCCTAAAAGCAAAAGAAAATTTTATTTCTCTTGTTAATTTTATTTTCAACCCTTGCTACTCAGTTTTGTAAAGCAACATTGAAGACTTAATGTATGCAAATAATCTAATTACCATCACTGATTTAAAAAAATTCCTTTCAAGGGTTTTTCGAAAGCATTGTTTTTACAATAATTCTTAATGTTTTACTTAATTTGGCTACCCCAAATCATTGTCATCAATGACAAGCATATTGAACTAAATCCCAATGTCTACTGTTACTTTAAAACTTTGATTAAAATGTTTGAGCTCAGTAATTTTTGAAAATTTCATTTCAATTATAGTCCCCTTTACATTATACACAGTGTTTTCACTACAACGCGAGAATCTCGCATATTTTTNATTTAAAATAAAGCTGTTTACAAATTTCCTCAAAGTGTACATACATACATTACATCTTACCTTATTTAAAATAATCATTTATGCAGGTCTGTCTCGTTTTTTGTTTCATTTTTCGAACAATGTTTTCAAAATGTTCTTCAGCTCCCTCATGGTTTGTAAAAAAATTTCATATGACATTTATTGCATTGAAGGCTTCCACTTGGGTTACAGCTACAGTCTCAGGATCACTGTCATTGTTCTCAACTTGTGAAACAATTTCAGAAAATGTAGCTTGTTCGTTGGCTGCAACATTTTCCTAGAACTGGAGAGGGGTAATTGCCTTGTAAGGAAGTTAAATAGGCTTTTGTTAGAAAAGAGCTCCGCTCGCCTCAGATAAAAATGACCTTATAAGCGATGACGATTTTTAAAACTTGACCATATATCCGATAATCTATAACAAAGAATTCCTATTCAGTGAGCCGGGACATTGGAAAAATGACCTTATATGCGGATGACCTTATATCGAGGTCTGACTGTATATTGTACCAAATCCCAATATCTACTGTTACTTGGGTTTATCTACTTTACTTAGTTTATTTACTTACTATCAAAAGTTTGATTAAAATGTTTGAGCTCTGTAGTTTCTGAAAATTTTATTTCAATTATAGTCCCCTTGACATTATACACATTTATAACATCAATAGTATATATTTGAAACGACATGTATAGTTGAACCATCAAAACTTGTGTATATCCTTTGATACATATTAAAATCTATTTTTTCTTCTTTTGCTCAGATTGAACTGATTCGTCGAGATTACGTAGCCAATGGAGGTTGGGAAACATTCCTGTCCTACGAAGACCCTGAACAAGACATCCTGGTCGGCTTACTCCGCTTGAGAAAGTGTTCAGACGACACTTTCCGACCAGAACTGAAAGGTGGTGTCTCTATAGTTAGAGAACTTCATGTGTATCCTTTAAGTATATATTTATGTATTTCAGTAAAATCGTAATTTTGATCATATATATGTAGTTGTTTAATAGCACTTTTTTGTTTGCACTTTATTGTTAAGTATTTTGTGTCCTTAATTACATGTAGTTATGGAAGTGTTGTTCCTGTAAGCTCTAGAGATCCTACCAAATTTCAACATCAAGTAAGTTTAAATTTTCATCTTTTTTAACAATGCAATCATCTTAGTACTAATATTCATTTATCATTTAAGTTTTTCTTTAAATTCATACTATTGAAATATGTAAATATCTAAATCAAAATCTAATAACCAACCAAACCAAGGATTGATGCATAGAATAAGTCTAAAGGTTGTAAATAAAATTTAAATTGTGCCCTTTTGTGCACAATTTGTTTTTAATCTGTTTTAATTAGCCTTTTTACTATATCCTTCTGAAATCGAGAAAGGGATTAGGAATAGCCTGGAATAATTTATAAGCAATGTGTCTGATAAAAAGTATCATTTGTCCACCATAATTAATACTGAGACATAGTTGACAACTCTTCTAGTTTAATTGATCCGTCATAACAATGGTTAAAACTTCTGATTTTTGTGAAGGACCTTGGTGCCAGCTCGAACTGATGGATATCAGCTATTGGATGGATAATTGTTGGAATCAGTTCAAATTGATGAATATCAGCTATTGAATGGATAGTTGATGGATATCAGCTTTTCTGGGAACATATGGCAGCTTGTGAGCAAGGTTTACTGTGTTGATTGTTGAAGTGATGATTCTTGATCACAAAATTGTGGAACCGTAACCTCCATACACCTGACTCACAAGAAGCTTTTGCAGTAATGAGTTTTATAACTTAATCAAAAATAACTTTTGCTTTTGTTTATTTTATAATGTCTCCTGAAGCAGGAAACAAAATCCTTATTTAAAATAGATTTTTACACTTTTTATTGCTTGCTTGAGTATTTAAATTGGAATAACTTTTAAATAATAAAACAAGCCTTATTTACTGTTAACTTGAAGTTTTTCTTTACTTTTTTTTAATAATCATAAACTTAGTTTTTTTTTCCCCTTCTCATTTATGACTCTATTTTAAAATTAATTATAAATAACTTTATAACTTCTGTCATTGAATAAAATGTTTATTTCTATCATTCAATGTTCTGAGTTCAAAATTATATGAAACATAATTAAATCATTGCAATTAATTTAAAATTATATTGATTAATGCTGTATAGTTTTTGTTTTTTGTTGACTATAAAAATTCTTGAAATTCCCGTTTGTTATATTATGCAGTAGTTATTATATAATTTATATTATTCCATAAATACTCCAGGATTTTTCCTTTCCATGTTGGCACCTATGTATGATGTGTGAACATTTCATTTAATGAAATTATTTACTATTCTGCTAAAAAATATTTAAAATTAATTAAAAATGTTTCAAACTACTCTCATTTTGTTTTTACGAAATCCAATAATTTTTTAACTGAGATGCCATTAATAAGCTAGTCAAAAGTTAACCTTTAGGCTCTTTCATATTTTAACAGAATTTTTTTTACCTTTCTTGTTTAAAATGCACGCTTTTAATCAATGAATGCATAATTAAATCATTATCTTGGTTGTACAATTCATTTATCTTATTTAAAATGTGAAACACCAAAGTTATTTAGATAGGGGAAGGTGGGGTAACACTGGGTACAAGATTTAAAGGCCTGTTGAAGCTAAGCTGTCTGACCTAGAAACTGTTTAATCAAAATTGTCTTTATTTGGTTGTATCCAGTGTATCATTCATAGGTAAACTACTTTTTTTATGAATGTTTTTTTTTTTTTTTTTTTGAGAAAGTCAAACTACTCGATTTTACTCCACTATTGAAGTTAAACCAGGTACACATGTCAACCCTATGGGACATTCAGAAATATTAGAATTTCAGTGAGAAAGTAGCAGACATTTCTATATTGTATGACAATTTCATGAACTTTACAAGTGGTGTAGTCATGGCCGTACTCAAGGAAAGTACTAAAGAAAAACAATTGTCCAATATCTCTGGATGGTTGAGGTCCCTGCTAAAATTCTTTACAAAAATTTAGTGTTAATAATTTTATTTTCTCAAAAAAAAATTGCATTTCTTTATATCGATATAAAAACTACAATTTTGTATAATGGGTCTTCAAAAATGCTACAAAATATGAAAATAAGGCTTCTTGTGCTTTGAGAATGGGGCCTGCAATAACTTTTATCCTGGGACCTGTAAAACCTTTGCTCAGCCTTAGATTTATCTACTTCCTCTGCAATGCAGCTGTAGTGGGCTCAACATAAACGCACATCAAGAGAGAGGGGCAGGCCTAATACCCAGTTTTATCCCACGATTAGAGATTGTCGAAGTGAAACAGGACAGTCTTACTTATTGAGCTGCATCCTTATTGTTTGTTTGGGTATGAATATTTGGTACACTTATAATAAGCTTTTATAATTTTAATGGTCAATTAATAAGGATAGTTAAATAACGAGAACATCAGTTAGTTGATAGAGTAAAATAAACGTATCAAAATAGACGCAGTGAATGCACGCAGTGCAAAATAGACGCAGTGAAAAATAGACACCCTCCGACAGCAGCCCCAGTCTTTTGTTCTTGATGGACCTGCGTAGGCGTCAGAGTGTCTCACAGTACACATCGAAGTAAATGGTTTTTCTGTGCTCGAGGAAATTGGATAACACCTCGCTGCACCTCAATCGTCGAATTTTGCAACGCGAGCGCCATCCAGTCCTCATACGAACTGCCGCATCAATTGGACGCCGCTTTTGATAAGAGCCTCAGCTCTCGTATGCGGGCACCCGCGCGCACTCCGATCCCAGTCAGAGACTCCAGTCGCATCCCGAGATGTCTCGCTAAGTTCTCCCATAGTGGAATATGCAAATATTTAACTGTTATGTTTTTATGTCGTTTCGTACCTTTTCATTTGATCACTTCTTGTATATCTATATATATTTATTAGCTTTTGATATTGTTGTGGTTTATTACTTAATAACTTGATAAAATTGCCATTGGATATTTTTGATTAAATCTAACCGAGAAATGCCACTCCCACCACATTTTAAGCTGTTGGTCGAGTTATTAATTCAACTTCGTTTTTATGTTGTTCTTGTACATGCCTATTTAAATGTATTGTTCTCTCGAATGAAAATGTAGACTCTATTAATGCAATCCATTTCTAGGGTTTTGGGACACTTTTGATGGAAGAAGCAGAAAGAATAGCCTCACAAGAACATGGTTCACATAAAATAGCTGTCATTTCAGGTTAGAATTTTCATTAAGAATATAGTTTCTTTATAATTTTTAGATTTAAATGAATGACCCGATTCCGGAATCGTTGAGACAAGTTTGGGAAAATAAATTTTTCCGCATAGTACATTTTTTTAGAAGAACAAAGAATAAAACTCGCCATATTCATTAAAAAAAGCTGATAAGCAAATAAAAATTAACAGCATTTCTCATTCCCGAGGACCTGCACACGAAGTTGAGCACTTTACGGTAGAAAAGTTTAATGGGCACCATTACTGTGCACCCTCAGGTCCTTGCGCAGGCTGATCAAAGTGATCACCCGCTTATTTGACCACAGCCAGTGATGCTTTGCATCGGTGTTCTACTGAGAACTGTGCCTTTACAATCAGTTCACTGCAATATTAAATTTGTTATTTTAAAAAAATTCCTAAACTTAAATTTGTTGAAATTTTATCCATTTTTATAATACTTATTGTTCATCTATAGTTTGTTCCATTTTGTCCAATTTCTGATCAGGATGGGAGGAAATAGGTTTTTAGTAGGAATGAAATGCCATCCTTGGTTTGAGCAGATATAAGAACAGTTAACATTAAGGGATTATAATAGAATAAACTTTTAAATTGTTGAAATGAATAGACAGACATTTTTTACTTCTTATATGTTTTAATTTGATTCATTATTTCAAAATTTTATCTGCTGATTTAAATTTATTTGCCAGCAAAATCAGAAAGAAAAAATAATAATAATAATCAATAAATCAGTGTATTTTAATAAAAACAGTTTTTTTTTTTTTAAAAAAGCCAAAATGTATCATAAAACTCATAACTGTTTAAATAATTACAAAGAGTTGCAGGGCTCAACTGTTAGATTCCCGGCGTTAAAGTCAGGATTTAATTAATAAACTTTTTTCCTGTTGGTTATTAATATTAGTAACACTGTCAGCTAAGTAATCACATCTAATAAAGTCAAGTGGATGTAGCGAAGAAAAGTTTCACAATAGGGCTAGTTTGTTTATTCATTTAAAAAAGTTATTAATAAACATGTTATTAAATAAGGTTTTCAAGAATTAAAAAAAATCTTTTGCTTGTATATTAGGGAATTTGGATATCTAATTTTTTTCTTCTTTGTTTTAAAACTATTACTATTTATTTCAGGAGTTGGCACCAGAAATTATTATAAGAAACTAGGCTATGAACTGGAAGGTCCATACATGTGTAAACAGTTATCTTGTAGCGAATGTTGAAAAAAAAGCAATTTTAATGTAAATTGTACATATTTATTTCAAAATAAAAATTATTGTTGTTGCTTGTGGTTTCTTATTGTAAAGAGAATTTTGACATATTTATTTACTATTGTTTTTGTGAAATTATACTCTATTTACTTAAATGAAATGTGAGTTATGTACAATTATGTGAAATTAGTAATTTGCTGTTTAAATCAAGATACTTGTCAAATTTGAGTTGGCGTTCATTATCCAAAACAAAAGCTGCTGTGTAAATAAATCTGTGTGCATGAGTCACCTGGCTTTTGTCAGTTTTTAAAGAATCTTATTTTGGCATTTTGCCAATTTTTCAAACAGAGCATGTGATGTACGCATTAGGCAGATGAAACATATGTTAAGATTGGTTTTATATTGAATAAATAGAGAAGCCTTTTTAGTTACAACTCCAAATTACATTTAAACAGATTTTTAAATGCTGCTTTAACTTTAATTTCTGAAACCTGATCATCCTTCATAAATTTGAAATTAATACAAACCTTACAGGTTGCTTTGTTGCCTTAAAATACAGGATGCTTTGTTTACAGTAAAGATGGTATTAACACACTGTTAACTCGTTACTGCACTTGTATTAACTACTTTAGTTTGTGAAATGCAAGACAATATAGAATATTCAGTAGTTGGAAAAACTATATTATTTTTACTACTGCTTTGTGTCATGTACTGACTACAAACTACTTAAGGAACCGATCTTTGCTGGAGAAATTAATTTGCACCTGATTAATTTACACATTATGTTCAAAATGGTTTTGAATAAAAAAAAATTTAAAAATATTTATTTGTGATTACGTTAGTCATTTTGTTATTCTATCTAAAACATTTTTTTTTTTTTCGAATTTATTCATTTAGTCTTCAACTTTTTACTCTCTTCTTAACAGCGAATATTTAATTGAGGAAATTATCCAATACTTGCGATTTCGTTAAGTGTTTACTGCTCTTTTATTTCCTCTCAGAAATAAGGTACATTGAAAATATATTTCCATCCTTTGAAATAACATCACTGTTTTGCGAGTGTACACATTCGCATGTGAAAGTGTGACTAAAGTAATAAATTATCAATAGTTTAAATATTAGTTATGCGTGACTCTTGTACATTTCAAAGGGGCCATAAAAAAACCTCTACAGTATCTATATTAAAACTGTACTGTATTGTTGCAGTTTTAATAGGTACAAATATGCTACTTTGTACCTATCTTAGTATATTAGGTAGTTATTAAAACTGTTCCAGGAAGAGCTTAGTACAGGGGTGGCGAACCTTTATACACCAACGTGCCATTTTTTCTAAAAAATTGTTTAATGAGGTCATAGACGTGCCGTCAAATAATTTTGACTTCGTGATTATTAGGAAAATAATAATACTTAACACTATCAACTCAAAACTCTTTATTTACATTGAAAAAAAAATACATTTTGACATGTCTTAAAACAACTTAAAGTAACATCAGTGTGACTTCTGTTGTTGCAAATTCGATGACAAATAACGTATAGTAGGTTGTAAGATGTTAGTTTAAGCAGGACTGTTAATTTTTTTTTGCTAGTTGTTTATTGTTAGCTTGTTTTTTATGGTTATTAATTGTTTTTTTTAGCATTAATTGTTAATTTTTTATTAATAATTGTTTATTAATTTGTTTGTTTTTGTGCATTTTAATTTAATTGTTACATTTGCTTCATAGTGTAATAACATTCGCGTAATAGCAATTAATTGTGTAATAACAATTGTGATCGGTGGCGTGCCCAAAATATTGTGTCTCGTGCCATATATGGCACGCGTGCCATTGGTTCACCATCCCTGGCTTAGTAGAAGAACCGGCTAAGTGCCATTTCTTATTTTAAATTAATTTAAATATATAAAATTCGTTTCTAAAGCTAAATCTATATATTCTGAAGATACTCAGTGGAAGAACTGGCTAAGTGACATTATTTGAGTAGTAATTGGATGAAAGAACCTGCTGACTTGGTGACAAATAGTCAATAAACAACCTTAAAAGTTCTCTTTCTTGGAGCGGGGGAAAAAAATGGTGAAAATTAGAAACTTGAAACGGCAACTTTTATAGATTAAGGAAGAATTTATATTATCTAAACGAATGTCGAATTTATAATAATTATTTATTTTTAGAATCAATAATTAAGACATGAAAAAATAACCCTTAAGCAGCTTCAACATAAATTTTTTTTTTTGTTTTTAGTTTGAATTTCAGACACACTGCCCTGGTCGCGTTGGAAATAAATATGCTGTTTTGTGCTCAGCCAACTTTTTCAGTTTTTTATTATTGTTACTAGCAAAAATACTCGTTTTCTTAGATAAGCTTATTAGTAAAATATATATATTTAACATAGAATTTGTAATCTGAAAATATATTTTATGTTGATTTCAACTGCACCAGCATTGTTTTTCCTAATAGCTCTTATCAAGCAAGGTGAGCGGTCACACAGTGTGGCGCCAAACTAGACCTAAATTTAATGTTCTCGAAATAGTTTATTTCCTCCTGTAAAAAAAAAAAAATTATAGGCCACTCTTTCAGGAGCACCATATTAAGTGGACTAACGTTGCTTTCACGGTAAGGACAGATAGTTCAGAAAACCATGTCCGGGATCTTTTCGATGTGAGGTCAATTCGCTGACCACTACATAGTCCGGTCGGTGGGTAAGGAATCATCCGCCGCAAAAAAAAATTTATTTAGAGAAGATACGTTCTTGTGTGAGATTTCGTAACTTAAAATATCGTCTGCACTAATAGCATATTTAGGGTCACCCCTTCGAATCATTGAGAATTCTAGAAAATCTGATCATTAAATCAGAAGTTATTAAAAGTATTTAGTTTTAGAACACAGTGCACGTTAACTTGTGCCCCAAATGTACTCTAATTTGAATTTACTGATATAAATCTTAATATCTATGTAGAAAATACTTCTACTTCGTTTTCAAAATGTAATTTTAATTTAAGTTTAGCTTTGTTTATGTATTATTTTAACTTATTATCCACACCACCACTACATTTAAATGATTTTAAAGTTCATGCCCGTCCAACGCTACTATAGTACAGCTCATTCGTGGCGAGACTTGAAAAATGTTGGTAATATTACTGAAAGTTTTGAATGTCTACCACTGCATAAAATATTATGCAAAAAAGCGCAGTAGTTGACAGGCTTAAAGACGATTTAGTTAATTTTTTTACGTTACTTACAAGATTTTATACTTAAAGTAGTAGCAAGACATGATGGTTACTTTTTACTAAATCCATGAATTCGTAAATTTAATTTAACCTTTTGCTCTAGGGTGTCGTCTCTGAAGTGACATCAAAAGTCACCATTCTAAAATTAAACATTTTTAATTTGTTTGTTGAAGCCGGAGTTACAAGTAGTGCCACCAACATTTATTTGAAGGGGGGGGAAAGAAGTTAGTTGTTTCTGGTCTACATAGACAGGCCGATGCGCCGTTCATGTAATAAACACATTAGTTATGAACAAATATGGCAACGTTACTTTTAAAAAGTAACGAGTAAAAGTACAAGTATTTTTAAAAAAAGCAACGAGTAAAAATCTCTTATTTTAAAAAGTACAAGTACTAAACAAAAAAAGTAACGATTTAAAAGTACATTTCCAGGAAATCGAAAATTCAAAATGACCTAATATTTTATTGAATAATGTTCTTTAATGTTTTTGCAAAATTGTTGTTATTTAATTATTTTTAATTTTGAAAGTTATGGACATTAATTTATTTTTAAATTCGGAAGAATATTATAATATAATTTTATAATATAATCGTATAATATAATTTTAAGATTAAATATAATTTTAATATCAAACTTTTTATAGATTTGCACGAAAAAGAAATTTTATCTAAAATTTGAAAACTGCTTCAAAGAAAAGAAATAAACTGATTAAATATTTACGAGTAAGCGAGTCCCTCTAACTTTAAAACATCGTTAGCGCGACTTATAGTACACAATTATAATTAATAAACCTCAATATAGTTGATTAATGAGAAACGAATATCAAAATTTACGGAAACGACAGATCTTTATTCTTTCCCTAGTCTTATTAACTATTCCCTAGTTTATATTAACTTAAAGAGAGTCTTTTTTTATTTAAATAAAAATTTATGTTTGCTAATTCAAAATAAATATTTGTTAATTTATATAAATAAAAAAAAGATAAAAGTGGTAGAAATCATATTATTACGGAATAAAATCTAATTCGAATGTTACAAAGCTCCTTCAATAGTGAACATTTAAAATACCCAGAAGCCGAACCAGAAATCAAAATTATCTGTTTACATATAAAAAAGAGCTTAGATTTATGTTAATTTTAGAACTATAATTTTTTTTTTCAAATTTTGTTTTTATTTTCGGAAACTTTATTTTAAAAATAAATTACCTTGTTCGACAAATTTGATAAACATTATAACTTATATTTGAAAATAAATTTTAAAAAAATGTATTCATATACAGGAGACCCCTATAAATCCAATAAACTACAAATTATATTTTGTTTTTGAATATAATTTTTTTTTTATTTTAAAATATTTCATACTGCCAGTTTTTGGATTTGTAATAACGATGTGCTATACTAAATCCACTCATAATCAAAAATTATGAACGAAAGTTTTATTTCAAAATTTTGTGATATGAATAACTTATACGCTTACGTAGTAATATATATGTTACGTTTAATATAATTCCAAAAAATTATTTTGTTGTTAAGTAAAAAAAATTATAATATTTTAGATTTGTTTTTATAATTTAATACTTTAACGTTAAGAAATTTAAAACTTGTGCCAAAATTTTTTGTAATAGTAATATTAAATTAGTTGTTTAAATTATTTAAAAAAGCATCCAATGCGCACACATTGTTAACAAAATTTTTAATTAACATATTTAAATGAATGAAAAATGTTTCAAATAAATATAAAATGTTATTTTATAAATAGAAAATGATTAGATATTAAAATTTATATGAAATCTAAAATTTTTATGAACATTTGGACATTAAAATTTTTTAGAAAGCTTACCGAGTTTTAGAAAAAA